CGCGGGGGGGAGACGCGGGGGAGAGACGCGGGGGAGAGACGCGGGGGAGAGACACGGGGGAGAGACACGGGGGAGAGACACAGTGGAGAGACACGTGGGGGAGAGGCGGGGGAGAGACGCGTGGGAGAGACGCGTGGGAGAGACGCGGGGGGAGAGATACGGGGGGGGAGAGACACGGGGGGGGGGGGAGAGACACGGGGGAGACACGGGGGACAAACACGGGGGAGAGACGCGGGGGAGAGACACGGGGGAGAGACACGGGAGAGAGACACGGGGAAGAGACACGGGGAGAGACACACGTGGGGGAAGACACTTGGGAGACACACGGGGGAGAGACACGGGGGGGGAGAGACACGGGGGAGACACGGGGGAGAGACACGGGGGGAGAGACACGGGGGGAGAGACACGGGGGGAGACACGGGGAGACAGAGAGAGACACGGGGAGAGACACGGGAGAGACACGGGGGGAGAGACACGGGGGGAGAGACACGAGGGGAGAGACACGGGGGGAGAGATACGGGGGGGGAGACACGGGGGGGAGACACGGCAGAGAGACACGGGGAGGGAGATCCGTGGGGGGAGACACGGGGGGGGAGACACGGGGGGGGGGAGACACGGGGGGGAGACACACGGGGGGGGAGACACGGGGGAGAGACACGGGGAGGGAGACACGTGGGGGGAGACACGTGGGGGGAGACACGGGGGGGGAGACACGGGGGGGGGGGAGACACGGGGGGAGAGACACGGGGGGAGAGACACCGGGGGGGAGACACGGGGGGGGAGACACGGGAGAGAGACACGGGGAGGGAGACACGTGGGGGGAGACACGTGGGGGGAGACACGGGGGGGGAGACACGGGGGGGGAGACACGGGGGAGAGACACGGGGGAGAGACACGGGGGGGAGACACGGGGGTAGAGAGACACGGGGGTAGAGAGACACGGGGGGAGAGAGACACGGGGGGAGATAGACACGGGGGGAGAGAGACACGGGGGGAGAGAGACACGGGGGGAGAGAGACACGGAGGGGGGGGAGAGACACGGGGGGAGAGATACACGGGGGGAGAGAGACACGTGGGAGAGACGGGGGGAGAGAGACACGGAGGAGAGACACGGGGGGACAGAGACACGTGGGAGAGACACGGGGGGGGAGAGACACGTGGGAGAGACACGGGGGGGGGAAGAGACACGGGGGGAGAGAGACACGGGGGGAGAGATACACTGGGGGAGAGAGACACGTGGGAGAGACGGGGGGAGAGAGACACGGAGGAGAGACACGGGGGGAGAGAGACACGTGGGAGAGACACGGGGGGGAGAGACACGGGGGGAGAGACGAGGGGGATAGACCCAGGGGAGAGATGCGTGGGAGAGACGCGGAGGAGAGACGCGGGAGAGAGACGCGGGGGAGAGACGCGGGGGAGAGACACACGGGGGGAGAGACACGGGGGGGAGACACGGGGGAGAGACACGGGGGAGAGACACATGGGAGAGACACGGGGGAGAGACGCGGGGGAGAGACGCGGGGGGGAGACGCGGGGGAGAGACGCGGGGGAGAGACGCGGGGGAGAGACACGGGGGAGAGACACGGGGGAGAGACACGGTGGAGAGACACGTGGGGGAGAGGCGGGGGAGAGACGCGTGGGAGAGACGCGTGGGAGAGACGCGGGGGGAGAGACACGGGGGGAGAGCCACGGGGGAGAGACACGGGGGAGACACACGGGGGAGAGACACGGGGGAGAGACGCGGGGAGACACGGGGGAGAGACGCGGGGGAGAGACGCGGGGGAGAGACGCGGGGGAGAGACGCGGGGGAGAGACACGGGGGGAGAGACACGGAGGAGAGACACTGGGGAGAGACACGGGGGAGACACACGGGGGAGAGACACGGTGGAGAGACACGTGGGGGAGAGACGCGTGGGAGAGACGCGGGGAGACACGGGGGAGAGACACGGGGGAGAGACGCGGGGGAGAGACGCGGGGGAGAGACACGGGGGGAGAGACACGGGGGAGAGACACGGGGGAGAGACTTGGGGGAGAGACACGTGGGGGAGAGGCACGGGGGAGAGACGCGTGGGAGAGACGCGTGGGAGAGACACGGGGGGAGAGACACGGAGGAGAGACACGGGGGAGAGACACGGGGGAGACACACGGGGGAGAGACACGGTGGAGAGACACGTGGGGGAGAGACACAGGGGAGAGACGCGTGGGAGAGACGCGGGGGAGAGACGCGGGGGAGAGACGCGGGGGGGAGAGACACGGGGGAGAGACACGGGGGAGAGACACGTGGGGGAGAGACACGGGGGGGGAGACACGGGGGGGGAGACACGGGGGGGGAGACACGGGGGGGGGAGACACGGGGGGGGAGACACGGGGGGGGAGACAAGGGGGGGGAGACACGGGGGGAGAGACACGGGGGAGAGACACGTGGGAGAGACACGTGGGAGAGACACGGGGGGGAGAGACACGGGGGGAGAGAGACACGTGGGAGAGACGGGGGGAGAGAGACACGGAGGAGAGACATGGGGGGAGAGAGACACGTGGGAGAGACACGGGGGGGGAGAGACACGAGGGGAGAGAGACACGTGGGAGAGACACGGGGGGGGGTGGGAGAGACACGGGGGGAGGGAGACACGGGGGGAGAGATACACGGGGGGAGAGAGACACGTGGGAGAGACGGGGGAAGAGAGACACGGAGAAGAGACACGGGGGGAGAGAGACACGTGGGAGAGACACGGGGGGGGAGAGACACGGTGGGAGAGAGACACGTGGGAGAGACACGGGGGGGGGAGAGACACGGGGGAGAGAGACACGGGGGGAGAGATACACGGGGGGAGAGAGACACGTGGGAGAGACGGGGGAAGAGAGACACGGAGAAGAGACACGGGGGGAGAGAGACACGTGGGAGAGACACGGGGGGGGAGAGACACGGTGGGAGAGAGACACGTGGGAGAGACACGGGGGGGGGGGAGAGACACGGGGGGAGAGAGACACGGGGGGAGAGATACACGGGGGGAGAGAGACACGTGGGAGAGACACGGGAGAGAGACACGGGGGAGAGACACGGGGGGGGAGAGACACGGGGCGAGACACGGGGGGGGAGAGACACGGGAGAGAGACACGTGGGAGAGACACGGGGGGAGAGACACGTGGGAGAGACACGGGGGGAGAGAGACACGGGAGAGAGACACGGGAGAGACACGGGGGGAGAGAGACACGGGGGGAGAGAGACACGTGGGGGGGAGAGACACGGTGGGAGAGAGACACGGGGGGAGAGAGACACGGTGGGAGAGAGACACGTGGGGGGGAGAGACACGGGGGGAGAGAGACACGGGGAGAGAGAAACGTGGGGGGAGACACACGGGAGAGAGACACGTGGGGGGGAGAAACACGGGGGGAGAGAGACACGGGGGGAGAGAGACATGGGGGAGAGACACGGGGGGAGAGAGACACGGGGGGAGAGATACACGGTGGGAGAGAGACACGGGGGGGAGAGACGTAGGGGGGAGAGACACGGGGGGAGAGAGACACGGGGGGGGGAGACACGGGGGGAGAGAGACACGGGGAGAGAGACACGGGGGGAGAGCGACACGGGGAGAGAGACACGTGGGGAGAGAGACACGGGGGGAGAGAGACACGGGGGGAGATAGACACGGGGGGAGAGAGACACGGGGGGAGAGAGTTACGGGGGGAGAGAGACACGTGGGGAGAGAGACACGGGGAGAGAGACACGTGGGGGGAGACACACGGGAGAGAGACACGGGGGGAGAGAGACACGGGGGGAGAGACACGGGGGGAGAGAGACACGGGGCGAGAGAGACACGAGGGAGAGAGACACGGGGAGAGAGACACCTGGGGGGAGAGAGACACGTGGGGGGAGACACACGGGGGGATAGAGACACGGGGGGAGAGAGACACGGGGGGAGAGAGACACGTGGGGGAGAGACACGGGGGGGGGGGGGGAGAGACACGGGGGGAGAGAGACACGGGGGGAAAGAGACGGGGGGAGAGAGACACGGGGGGAGTGAGACACGGGAGATAGACACGGGGGGAGAGAGACACGTGGGAGAGACACGGGGGGAGAGAGACACGGGGGGAGAGAGACACGGGGGGAGAGAGACACGTGGGAGAGACACGGGGGGAGTGAGACACGGGAGGAGAGAGACACGGGTGGAGAGAGACACGGGAGAGTGACACGGGGGGAGAGAGACACGGGGGGAGAGAGACACGGGGGGAGAGAGACACGGGGGGGGAGAGACACGGGGGGAGAGAGACACGGGGGGAGAGAGACACGGGGGGAGACACACAGGGGGAGAGAGACACGGGGGGGGAGAGACACGGGGGGGGAGAGACACGGGGGGGGGGAGAGACACGGGGGGAGAGAGACACGGGGCGAGAGACACGGGGCGAGAGACACGGGGGTAGAGAGACACGGGGGGAGCGAGGCACGGGGGGAGAGAGACACGGGGGGAGAGAGACACGGGGGGAGACAGACACGGGGGGAGAGAGACACGGGGGGAGAGATACACGGGGGGAGCGAGGCACGGGGGGAGAGAGACACGGGGGTAGAGAGACACGGGGGGAGACAGACACGGGGGGAGAGAGACACGGGGGGAGACAGACACGGGGGGAGAGAGACACGGGGGGAGAGAGACACGGGGGGAGAGAGACACGGGGGGAGAGAGACACGGGGGGAGAGAGACACGGGGGGAGAGAGACACGGGGGGGGGAGACACGGGGGGAGAGAGACACGGGGGGAGAGAGACACGGGGAGAGAGAGACACGGGGGGGGGGAGACACGAGGAGAGAGACACGTGGGAGAGACACGTGGGAGAGACACGGGGGGAGAGAGACACGGGGGGAGAGAGACACGGGGGGGGAGAGACACGGGGACGTGCTATCAGCGGACACAACCTCGGTGGCGTGTGATGAATATGCGACTTTGCGCGTGTGATGTCACGTGATGATGTCACGTGATGATGTCATCGTCCCCTCTCCCCCCACAGCTCCCTCAAGGTGTCCGGTGACCTCTGGCAGGACGCCTACCTCCAGCGGTGACGTCATGGCGCCCACCTCCTCACTCCCCCTCCTCGTTAACTCATCAACCTCCACCTCCTCACCACCTCCACCTCGTCACCACCCTCCCTCCACCTCATCACCCCCCCACCACCGCCATCGTTAACCTCCCTCCTCCTCCACCTCCTCACCCTCCTCCAACCTCCTCCTCTCATCGGATGAGGTGGTGGGTGAGGTGGTGAGTGGGTGGTGAGTGGGTGAGGTGGTGAGTGAGTGAGGTGGTGAGTGAGGTAGTGAGTGAGTGAGTGAGGTGGTGAGTGAGTGTGGTGAGTGAGGTGGTGAGTTAGTGAGTGAGTGAGGTGGTGAGTGAGTGGGTGAGGTGGTGAGTGAGGTGGTGAGTGAGGGGGTGAGTTAGTGAGTGAGGTGGTGAGTGAGTGAGGTGGTGAGTGAGGTGGTCAGTGAGTGAGGTGGTGAGTGAGTGAGGTGTTGAGTGAGGTGGTGAGTGAGTGAAGTGGCGAGTGAGGTGGTGAGTGACATGGTGAGTGAGTGACGTGGTGAGTGAGGTGGTGAGTGAGTGAGTGAGGTGGTGAGTGACGTGGTGAATGAGGTGGTGAGTGACGTGGTGAGTGACTTGGTGAGTGACGTGGTGAGTGAGTGAGTGAGGTGGAAAGTGAGTGAGGTGGTGAGTGACGTGGTGAATGAGGTGGTGAGTGAGGTGGTGAGTGAGTGACGTGGTGAGTGACGTGGTGAGTGAGTGAGTGAGGTGGTGAGTGAGTGGATGAGGTGGTGGGTGAGGTGGTGAGTGAGGTGGTGAGTGGGTGAGGTGGTGAGTGAGTGAGGTGGTGAGTGAGTGACGTGGTGAGTGAGTGACGTGGTGAGTAAGGTGGTGAGTGAGTGAGTGAGGTGGTGAGTGAGTGAGGTGTTGAGTGAGGTGGTGAGTGAGTGAAGTGGGGAGTGAGGTGGTGAGTGACATGGTGAGTGAGTGACGTGGTGAGTGAGGTGGTGAGTGAGTGAGTGAGGTGGAAAGTGAGTGAGGTGGTGAGTGACGTGGTGAATGAGGTGTTGAGTGAGGTGGTGAGTGAGTGACGTGGTGAGTGACGTGGTGAGTGAGTGAGGTGGAAAGTGAGTGAGGTGGTGAGTGAGTGGATGAGGTGTTGAGTGAGGTGGTGAGTGAGTGAAGTGGCGAGTGAGGTGGTGAGTGACATGGTGAGTGAGTGACGTGGTGAGTGAGGTGGTGAGTGAGTGAGTGAGGTGGTGAGTGACGTGGTGAATGAGGTGGTGAGTGACGTGGTGAGTGACGTGGTGAGTGACGTGGTGAGTGAGTGAGTGAGGTGGAAAGTGAGTGAGGTGGTGAGTGACGTGGTGAATGAGGTGGTGAGTGAGGTGGTGAGTGAGTGACGTGGTGAGTGAGTGATTGAGGTGGTGAGTGAGTGAATGAGGTGGTGGGTGAGGTGGTGAGTGAGGTGGTGAGTGGGTGAGGTGGTGAGTGAGTGAGGTGGTGAGTGAGTGACGTGGTGAGTGAGTGACGTGGTGAGTGAGGTGGTGAGTGAGTGAGGTGGTGAGTGAGTGAGGTGTTGAGTGAGGTGGTGAGTGAGTGAAGTGGGGAGTGAGGTGGTGAGTGACATGGTGAGTGAGTGACGTGGTGAGTGAGGTGGTGAGTGAGTGAGTGAGGTGGAAAGTGAGTGAGGTGGTGAGTGACGTGGTGAATGAGGTGTTGAGTGAGGTGGTGAGTGAGTGACGTGGTGAGTGACGTGGTGAGTGAGTGAGGTGGAAAGTGAGTGAGGTGGTGAGTGAGTGGATGAGGTGGTGAGTGAGGTGGTGAGTGAGTGAGGCGATGAGTGAGTGACGTGGTGAGTGAGTGACGTGGTGAGTGAGGTGGTGAGGTGGTGAGTGAGGTGGTGAGGTGGTGAGTGAGGTGGTGAGGTGGTGAGTGAGTGGATGAGGTGGTGAGGTGGTGAGTGAGTGGGTGAGGTGGTGAGGTGGTGAGTGAGTGGATGAGGTGGTGAGTGAGTGGATGAGTGGGTGAGGTGGTGAGGTGGTGAGTGAGGTGATGAGGTGGTGAGTGAGGTGATGAGGTGGTGAGTGGGTGAGGTGGTGAGTGACGTGGTGAATGAGGTGGTGAATGAGGTGGTGAGTGAGGTGGTGAGTGAGTGACGTGGTGAGTGACGTGGTGAGTGAGTGAGGTGGAAAGTGAGTGAGGTGGTGAGTGAGGTGGTGAGTGAGTGAGTGACGTGGTGAGTGAGGTGGTGAGTGAGTGACGTGGTGAGTGAGGTGGTGAGTGAGGTGGTGAGGTGGTGAGTGAGGTGGTGAGGTGGTGAGTGAGGTGGTGAGGTGGTGAGTGGGTGAGGGATTGCGAGCAGACACCACGGGCTGGCCATGAATGACCGATCCGTCTTGGTGGTTGTCCGCTGCCATTGTGAATGGCCACGCCCGGTGGCTCCACTCATCGTCGTCTTTGCCACGGCTCGTGTTTGTGCTACGCCGCGCTTAAACTAAAGACAAAGATTCTCCCCGTATAGCCTCAACGGACTTTTGGGGCAAGTGCGCTCGAACCCACTCATTCACTCACTCACTCACTCATTCACTCACTCATTCACTCATTCACTCACTCATTCACTCATTCACTCAATCACTCACTCATTCACTCACTCAGCAATCACTCTCTCATGCACTCACTCATTCACTCACTCAAACACTCACTCATTCACTCACTCATTCACTCACTCATTCACTCAATCACTCACTCATTCACTCACTCAGCAGTCACTCATTCACTCACTCATTCACTCACTCAATCACTCACTCATTCACTCACTCATTCACTCACTCAGCAATCACTCTCTCATTCACTCACTCATTCACTCACTCAATCACTCACTCATTCACTCACTCATTCACTCAATTACTCACTCATTCACTCACTCAGCAATCACTCATTCACTCATTCACTCACTCACTCAATCACTCACTCATTCACTCACTCACTCATTCACTCAGCAATCACTCTCTCATTCACTCACTCATTCACTCACTCACCGACTCACCAATGAACTCACTGACCCCCCCCCACCATCACACACTCACTCACCACTCACTCACCACTCACTCACCACTCACTCACAACTCACCAGCCACCCATTCACTCACTCACCAACTACTCACTCACCACTCACTCACCACTCACTCACAACTCACCAGCCACTCATTCACTCACTCACCGACTCACCAATTAACTCACTGACCCCCCCACCCCCACCCACATCACGCACTCACTCACCACTCACTCACAACTCACTCACCAGCCACTCATTCACTCACTCACTCACCACTCACTCACAACTCGCCAGCCACTCATTCACTCACTCACCACTCACTAACCAACCACTCACCAATTCACTAATTTACTCACTCAACCAGCTCACCTAATTCACTCACCCACTAATTCACTCACTCACCACTCACTCACAACTCACTCACCAGCCACTCATTCACTCACTCACCGACTCACTAACCACCACTCACTAATTCACTAATTTACTCACTTACTCAACCAGCCACCCATTCACTCACTGACCAACTACTCACTCACCACTTACTCACAACTCACTCACAACTCACCAGCCACCCATTCACTCACTCACCAACTACTCACTCACTCACCACTCACTCACCACTCACTCACAACTCACCAGCCACTAATTCACTCACTCACGTATTGCCTTTAACAAGCGAGCAGCGAATGTCCAGCACTGGATCCCCGACTCGCCGCTCTCTCCCCGCTGGCCATGTTTACCACGCACCACACCGGGCACTTCATTTCAGTCCGAGTCGACCTAGGGGAGGGCCCCGGGACCGGTTTCGAGATATTCGCCATCGCCGGGCGTCGCCGGCCGTGAGCGGGAATCGATCTCGGCGGCTCGCACAGAGACAGCCCTACAGGAGCACCGTGATTTCTGGGTTGTTAATTTAAGACATTAAATGGTAAAAATGGTTACAAGCGAAGCGACGCCACGCTTTGTGCGAGTTCCGCCACCAACCACCACACCACACCCCACCCACCACACCACACCCCACCCACCACACCACACCCCACCCACCACCCCACACCCCACCCACCACACCCCACCCCACCACCACCCCACACCCCACCCACCACCCACACCCCACCCACCACCCACACCCCACCCACCACCCCACACCCCACCCACCACCCCACACCCCACCCACCACCCCACACCCCACCCACCACCCCACACCCCACCCACCACCCCACACCCCACCCACCACCCCACACCCCACCCACCACCCCACCCCCACCCACCACCCCACCCCCACCCACCACCCCACACCCCACCCACCACCCCACACCCCACCCACCACCCCACACCCCACCCACCACCCCACACCCCACCCACCACCCCACACCCCACCCACCACCCCACACCCCACCCACCACCCCACACCCCACCCACCACCCCACACCCCACCCACCACCCCACACCCCACCCACCACCCCACACCCCACCCACCACCCCACACCCCACCCACCACCCCACACCCCACCCACCACCCCACACCCCACCCACCCCCCCACACCCCACCCCACACCCCACCCACCACCCCACACCCCACCCACCACCCCACACCCCACTCCCCACCCACCACCCCACTCCCCACCCACCACCCCACACCCCACCCACCACCCCACACCCCACCCACCACCCCACACCCCACCCACCACCCCACACCCCACCCACCACCCCACACCCCACCCACCACCCCACCCCACACCCTACACCACCCACCACCACCCCACACCCCCTTCTCTGTTGGGTGCCTGGGTCCTTTACTCGGTTCCGTACAAGCAGTTGAGCTGTTCACGTGCACGTGGTGGTGGTGGTGGTGGCTATGCTGCTGCTGCTGCACGTGATGGTGGTGGTGGCTATGCTGCTGCTGCTGCTACACAAGGTGGTGGTGGTGGTGGTGGCTATGCTGCTGCTGCACGTGATTGTGGTGGCTATGCTGCTCCTGCTACACGTGGTGGTGGTGGTGGCTATGCTGCTGCTGCACGTGGTGGTGGTGGTGGCTATGCTGCTGCTGCACGTGGTGGTGGTGGCTATGCTGCGCTTGATTGTGGTGGCTATGCTGCTGCTGCTGCACGTGGTGGTGATGGTGGCTATGCTGCTGCTGCACGTGATTGTGGTGGCTATGCTGCTGCTGCACGTGGTGGTGGTGGTGGCTATGCTGCTGCTGCTGCACGTGGTGGTGGTGGCTATTCTGTTGCTGCTGCTGCACATGGTGGTGGTTGTAGCTATGCTGCTCCTGCTGCACGTGATTGCCAGTCATCCAGCAACGGTGCAGGCGGTGCAGCAGCTCCGAGTAGGACTGCTGGCTATGTACGGCGCGAAAGAAGTCCACTATGCCTACACCCGCGCGCGTGTGGGCTCATCCCCATCTGTTCCACCTGCCGGCAGAGCCAAGGGGGGTACACGGCTCCTCCCCGACACTCAACCACGGGGAGAGAGGCTCACGACCCATCCGTGCGTGATCCACCAACCATCGCTGCTGCTGCTGCCTACGCAGTTGCTGGATGATCATCCCGGACAGCCACCTGCAGCAGCAGCATAGCTACCACCACCATCACGTGGTGTAGCAGCAGCATAGCTACCACCACCATCACGTGTGCAGCAGCAGCATAGCTACCACCACTATCACGTTCAGCAGCAGCATAGCCACCACCACCACCACCACGTACAGCAGCAGCATAGCCACCACCACCACTACGTGCAGCAGCGGCAGCATAGCTACCACCACGTGCAGCAGCATAACCACCACTACCACGTACAGCAGCAGCATAGCTACCACCACCACTACGTGCAGCAGCATAGCCACCACCACTAGGTGCAGCAGCGGCAGCATAGCTACCACCACCACGTGCAGCAGCAGCAGCATAGCCACCACCACTACCACGTGTGCAGCAGCATAGCCACCACCACTATCATGTGCAGCAGCATAGCCACCACCACTATCATGTGCAGCAGCATAGCCACCACCACTATCATGTGCAGCAGCATAGCCACCACCACTATCATGTGCAGCAGCATAGCCACCACCACTACCACTTGTGCCAGGCTAGGTGCACGAGGTCACGGAACACACCCACGTGGTGCCATGGGTTTACTACTGTGCCAGGCTAGGTGCACGAGTTCACAGAGGAGAATCACGTGGTGCCATGGGGTTTACTGCTGTGCCAGGCTAGGTGCACGAGGTCACGAAAGAGAATCACGTGGTGCCATGGATTAACTGCTGTGCCAGGCTAGGTGCACGAGGGCACAGAAGAGATTGCACGTGGTGCTATGGGTTTTACTGCTGTGCCAGGCTAGGTGCACGAGTGCACGGAGGAGAATCACGTGGTGCCATGGGTTTTACCGCTGTGCCAGGCTAGGTGCACGAGTTCACGGAGGAGAATCACGTGGTGCCATGGGTTGACCGACTGATTAGTGAGCGGCTTCGCTTCCTCTGCCCCTCCGCTGTTTGTCGTCGGGGAGCGGCGACTGCCTCCCGGCCGACCCCAACTACCCTCGCTGTGCATCCAGCCTGGCACTGCCCACCAGCGGCGTCCATTCCCGAGTCCTCATCATCATCGGCCCTTCCTCCTCGTCATCCGCAGGGGCCGGTCTTGACACGGGCAGCAGCAGCAGCAGCACGGCCGCCCCTACTGCGGTCGCCGATCGGTTAATGGACGTCCGCTCCGCGCGCCGAGAGCCAGACTCCGAATCCTGGGGGCACGCCAAGACTACGGAACGCCCTGCCACACCGCGCGGTCACACCGGGGCGAGGATTCGCTCGACCGCGTCTACGTCTTCCCCCAGAGGCTCGCCTGTTCCGCCCGAACGTCCACCCCCCCCCCCCCCCCCCCCCCCCCCCCCCCGCACGCATTGCCACGTGGGGACCCAGCGGACTCTGGGACCCTGCGCATTGTCTAGTTCCCGACTTCGTGCGGAGCGCAACTGAGACGCCCCCGGACGAATAATGACTTGGTGTCTTCTTTGGCTCTTTCGGTTAAAGTCACCACGTAGAATGAGAATAAAATAAGGAAAATAACGCGATAAAATTCTCACGGCGTTTCGGCCACAACACAAGTTGGCCTCCGTCAGGTGAAAGGAACAGACCTGTCCGTTGTTTACCGACAGAACCAAAGAAGATGAATCCTTGCCATCGCGAAAGCTTTAAATCGAAAAATGACCGGTGTCATTATTCATAATGAACGTTGGTTTTTTTTTGGGGGGGGGTCAGATCGCGTTATTTATAAAGGTGCCGTAACCCTCCGCCACCCGACACGGCCAATCGGAAAAAAAAAGAAAACCGAGTGTCACGTTGACGAAACAACGAAATAGTTCACTACTTTAGCCCACCAGTGTGTTGAGGAGTGAATCCACAACATTTGCGACGTTCTGAGTAGCACGCACGACGTTTCGCTCGTAATTACACCCAGCGTCATCGGGCAATTCGCCGGCATTGTTAAACTTGTATCTTTATTGTTTGTTATTAACTCGGACCAATCGGGCATTAGAAGTGCGCGGCACCGTCTCCGCACTGCGCTTCCAGCGAGGAATATATTTGGTTTTACAAAAAAAACGAAGTAAAATCTACTGACCGTTTCAAAGCACTTATTGTAGGGATGCGTATGATGGCGGCAGCAGCAGAAGCAGCAGCAGGGATGTGGTTTTTCAGTTACTAACGACCCATAAACTCAACACTGGACCCATAGACTAACACTGGACCGATAGACTACCAACACTGGACCCATAGACTAACACTGGACCGATAGACTACCAACACTGGACCCATAGACTAAGACTGGACCCATAGACTAACACTGGACCCATAGACTATTACTGGACCCATAGACTAACACTGGACACATAGACTAACACTGACCCATAGACTAACATTGTCCCATAGACGATTACTGGACCCATAGGATAACACTGGACCCATAGACTAACACAGACCCATAGACTAACACTGGACCCATAAACTAACACTGGACCCATAAACTAACACTGGACCCATAAACTAACACTGGACCCATAGACTAACACTGCACCCATAGACTAACACTGGACCCATAGACTAACACTGGACCCATAGACTAACACTGGACCCATAGACTAACACTGCACCCATAGACTAACATTGGACCCATAGACTAACACTGGACCCATAGACTAACACGGACCTATAGACTAACACTGGACCCATAGACTAACACTGAACCGATAGACCTACAACTGGACCCATAGACTAATACTGGACCCATAGACTAACACTGGACCCATAGACTAACACGGACCCATAGACTAACACTGGACCCATAGACTAACACTGGACCCATAGACTAATACTGGACCCATAGATTAACACTGATCCATAGACTAACACTGGACCCATAGACTAACACAGCACCCATAAACTCTCAATGGAAACATAGACTAACACTGCACCCATAAACTATCAATGGAAACATAGACTAACACTGCACCCATAGACTAACACAGCACCCATAGACTAACACTGTACCCATAGACTAACACTGGACCCATAGACTAACACCTGATGCATTGACTAACATTGGAGGAGGAGGGTGGTGGAGGAGGTAGGAGGGACGATTTGGGATGGTGGAAGAGGGAGGGTGACAGAGAGATGGTGTAGACGGAGGGAGGGTGAAGGAGGGAGGGTGAAGGAGGGAGGGTGGAGGGTGCAGGAGGACGAGGAGCGGTGATGCGGCACGAACTCTCTCCCTCTCTGTGCTGAAGCTCGCCCCGTCTCTTATAGTGGCAGGAGCAGAAGTCGAACCTCCGCATTGGCCCCCAGCTCCTGGAGAACCACGCCGCTGCCGCTGCCGCTGCCGCCGCCGCTGCCGCCGCAGCTTCTGCCGACATCGCCGCCGGCATGCAAAAGCGTAGAATAGCCGTGACCCTGTCACCCTGGCTGGGTGAAGAGGTCCTCCATGCCGCGATCTGCTGCCCTGCCTCAAGGGCAGGACAGGTCTCTCCGAATGCTGCCCTCCGGCTTCTTGGACACTTGCTTACTGCGCATGTTCAGGCTGTAGTAGGAGTCTGTAAGAGCGAGAGCAAGGGGGAGAGGGCATTAGAAGGGTCAGTGGAAGGTGGCGTGATGACAATATCTGGTTCTTGTAGGCCTCCTGAACTTAGGATGACGGTCAGTCCTCTTCCTCTGGGATTCCTGGACGAGATATTGACAACCTGTCTTCTGTAGACCTTCTGGAGATGAGTGGCAGTCCTGGGAGCTATATCCCTTTCTGTTAGACGGCATGTTGTTACTCATCCTGGGTCTCACAATACTTCCTGGAGATGCTGCTATGACAGCCCTGGGTCTCTATGCCTCTTGGATATGAGGCGATGGAGAACTCTCCGGGTTTCCTCTAGACCAGTGGCTCTTAGCCTGGGACGCACGCACCGTGCTGGGCGTGGTGAGACGTGGCCAGATTTTCTTTAGAAGGTGAATCATCGAAAACGCACAAATTAAGCACGGACACTTAAGTCCAACAACCCCTATGTATTTATTAACATTGTGCATTTTCTTGTTTTACGATTGAGAACCAAATGGGTGCCAAGGCTGCGGTAAAGGTTAAGAACCCCTGCTCTAGACCTTCAGGGAATGACATTGAAAGGCCCGGAGCCATCTTGCCTTCATGGCTATAACATTGGTCAATATATCCTCTTGGAGACACAATGATGAATTGGAGAACCCTGGGTTCCCCTAGACCTTCAAGAAATGGCATTGAAAGGCCTGGGGTTGTTTTTTTGCTAGACTTGTCTGCAGGGCATTCATCCCGGGGGGGGGGGGGGGGGGGGGGGGGAGTGGAATCTCCGTGAACGCCGAATAGCAATTGGCTCCCTTTCGTCTCCCTCCCCGTCGTCTCCCCGACATCTCCCTCAATCGCTGTCACCTTTGACGACGACGAAGTGCCGGTAGGAGATCCGGGCTGTAGGCACCGCCGGCGCCATGGGCCTCGTGAAGACGGAGGAGTAGTCGAGGGGGAAGCCCTTCCAGTGGATGTGGATCGAGCCGAACCGCACCTGACCTGGCACACGGGAAACGCACAGCGCGGTCTCGGGTTCGGGTCTCCGGTTCGGGCGGTTAGCCGTCGGCATTACGGCCACAGAGTTAGGGTCGTAGCATTAAGGCAACAGGGTTCGCTGTCAGGGTTAGGCTTCAGGATCAGGGTGATAAGGGTATAATCATAGTGTTTAGGCCAGGGTCAGGTTTAGGATTATAGGGTTAGGGCTTTAGCATTAAGGCACAGGGTTAGAGTCAGGGTTAGTCTTTAGGTTCAGGGTTAGCGTTGTGGTCACAGGGTTAGGAATAGGATCATAGCGTTAAGGTACAGGGTTAGTTTCAGGATTTTGGTTCTGGGTCATGGTGAGGATTAAAGGATTATGGTTAGGATCACGGCATTCAGGGACAAGATTATAGGCAGTGTTAGGCTTTCGGTTCGGGGTCAGGGTTAGGATTATGGTTTGGGTTATAGTGTTAAGACAGGGTTAGAGGTCATGGATCAGAGTTCATGTCATCATAGTGCCAGGGTTTACTTTTGGAGCTTCTGGTGTCCACGGCATGGCGCTTGCGTAACTGCAAATGGATCCTCTCTTGGGATGCTCGACATTCATGTTTCTTGAACAGGTACTTTGCCACAGTAGGCCCTGAACATCATCGTTACGATCATCATCATCATTGTCACCATCATAATCCTCATCACCACCGCCGCCATCAATATCCGCGTCATTTTTACCACCATCAGTATCCATGATCGCTATCATCATCGCCGTCTTTAACATGATTAATACCATTACCATCGGTCATCAAAGTCATTATCAACTCTATCATCGTCTCGATTATATTTATTTTAATTGTTATTGCCATCATCATCATCTTCACCGTTAATACTCTTCGTTAAAATATATTATTTGTGCTTGTGCTGAGTGAGAACAGTAGTGGTAGCGGTGGGTGGGTACAGTGGGGGTAGCTGTGGGTGGGTACAGTAGGGGTAGCCGTGGGTACAGTGAGGGTTGCGGTGGATACAGTGGGGGTAGCGGTGGGGGTGGGTTGGGACAGTACCCTGAAACAGGAACACGTGCTCCGGAAACCATTTTTCCCCAGGCACTGGGAGGGCCGCCGTGATGGGACCCTGAAGTCCGCTGAACCCTTGCGAGATGAGCTTAGGGAACCCCATGTCTGGGACCCCATTATCCAGGCGCCAGTACCTATCCCCCTGTGACACACACACACACAATACGCACGCGATACGCACACGACACATACACAATTTAACACGTAGTGGTAGGGCTTTCGCCAACATTATTATCCAAAATAGAGGTTTTTGTTGGGGTTAGATCGTGTGAATGTGTCGTTAATACCGCCACCACCACGACCACCACCACCACCAAATGAGTATAGGGTTTGTCACGTAAAAGAAACGTGCCCATTCCTTACTAGTTCAGAACTAACTGGTTGTGTGGTGGAGAGTAAACCCACGACGACATTTAACAATTCGAGGTACCGTGAAGTTTCGCCGGTAATTACAACAGCAACCAGCCACCACGTGGCCTCGTTTGCCAGTACCAAAAATATGAGAATAGGTTTTCCCCTTTTTTCTGGCAACAAAACAGTTGTTAAGATGTTAAAAAACACCAAACTGAAACCTTTTACAAAGAATCATGTCTGCATTAACCACAATACTTGTGGTCAGAATGCAAACAAAAACTGCTTAAACTGTAAACAATTCATAGTTATTTTTGTTTCTGTCTATTTAGGTTTTGCACATTGCACCATAGACTAACATTGCACCATAGACTAACATTGTACGTAGACTAACATTACACACAGACTAACTTTACACACAAACTAACATTACGCACAGACTAACATTACACACAGACTAACATTACACTTAGACTAACATTACACTTAGACTAACATTACACAAAGACAAACATTACACACAGACTAACATTACACACAGACTATCATTACACATAGACTAACATTACACACAGACTAACATTACACACAGACTAGCATTACACAAAGACTAACATTACACACAGACTAGCATTACACATAGACTAACATTACACTTAGACTAACATTACACAAAGACTAACATTACACAAAGACTAACATTACACACAGACTACCATTACACATAGACTAACATTACACACAGACTAACATTACACATAGACTAACATTACACACAGACTAACATTACACACAGCCTAACATTACACAAAGACTAACATTACACACAGACTAACATTACACATAGACTAACATTACACACAGACTAACATTACACATAGACTAACATTACACACAGACTAACATTACACAAAGACAAACATTACACACAGACCAACATTACACGCAGACTATCATTACACATAGACTAACATTACACACAGACTAACATTACACACAGACTAATAATAAACACAGACTAACATTACACATAGACTAACATTACATAAAGACTAACATTACACACAGACTAACATTACACACAGACTAACATTACACACAGACTAACAATAAACACAGACTAACATTACATATAGACTAACATTACACAGACGAACATTACACTTAGACTAACATTACACACAGACACATTACACACAGACTAACATTACACACAGACTAACATTACACATAGACTAACATTACACACAGACTACCATTACACACAGACTAACATTACACTTAGACTAACATTACACACAGCCTAACATTACACACAGACTAACATTACACACAGACTAACATTACACACAGACTAACATTACACTAAGACTAACATTACACACAGACTAACATTACACACAGACTAACATTACACACAGACTAACATAACACAGACTAACATTACACATAGACTAACATTACATATAGACTAACATTACACATAGACTAACATTACACATAGACTAACATTACACATAGACTAACATTACACACAGACTAACATTACACACAGACTAACATTACACACAGACTAACATTACACACAGACTAACATTACACATAGACTAACATTACACACATACTAACATTACACACAGACTAACATTACACACAGACTAACATTACACACAGACTAACATTACACATAGACTAACATTACACATAGACTAACATTACACGTAGACTAACATTACACATAGACTAACATTACACACAGACTAACATTACACACAGACTAACATTACACATAGACTAACATTACACACAGACTAACATTACACACAGCCTAACATTACACAAAGACTAACATTACACACAGACTAACATTACACATAGACTAACATTACACACAGACTAACATTACACATAGACTAACATTACACACAGACTAACATTACACAAAGACAAACATTACACACAGACCAACATTACACGCAGACTATCATTACACATAGACTAACATTACACACAGACTAACATTACACACAGACTAACATTACACACAGACTAACAATAAACACAGACTAACATTACATATAGACTAACATTACACAGACGAACATTACACTTAGACTAACATTACACACAGACACATTACACACAGACTAACATTACACACAGACTAACATTACACATAGACTAACATTACACACAGACTACCATTACACACAGACTAACATTACACTTAGACTAACATTACACACAGCCTAACATTACACACAGACTAACATTACACACAGACTAACATTACACACAGACTAACATTACACTAAGACTAACATTACACACAGACTAACATTACACACAGACTAACATTACACACAGACTAACAATAAACACAGACTAACATTACACATAGACTAACATTACATATAGACTAACATTACACATAGACTAACATTACACATAGACTAACATTACACATAGACTAACATTACACACAGACTAACATTACACACAGACTAACATTACACACAGACTAACATTACACACAGACTAACATTACACATAGACTAACATTACACACATACTAACATTACACACAGACTAACATTACACACAGACTAACATTACACACAGACTAACATTACACATAGACTAACATTACACATAGACTAACATTACACGTAGACTAACATTACACATAGACTAACATTACACACAGACTAACATTACACACAGACTAACATTACACATAGACTAACATTACACACAGACTAACATTACACACAGCCTAACATTACACAAAGACTAACATTACACACAGACTAACATTACACATAGACTAACATTACACACAGACTAACATTACACATAGACTAACATTACACACAGACTAACATTACACAAAGACAAACATTACACACAGACCAACATTACACGCAGACTATCATTACACATAGACTAACATTACACACAGACTAACATTACACACAGACTAACATTACACACAGACTAACAATAAACACAGACTAACATTACATATAGACTAACATTACACAGACGAACATTACACTTAGACTAACATTACACACAGACACATTACACACAGACTAACATTACACACAGACTAACATTACACATAGACTAACATTACACACAGACTACCATTACACACAGACTAACATTACACTTAGACTAACATTACACACAGCCTAACATTACACACAGACTAACATTACACACAGACTAACATTACACACAGACTAACATTACACTAAGACTAACATTACACACAGACTAACATTACACACAGACTAACATTACACACAGACTAACAATAAACACAGACTAACATTACACATAGACTAACATTACATATAGACTAACATTACACATAGACTAACATTACACATAGACTAACATTACACATAGACTAACATTACACATAGGCTAACATTACACACAGACTAACATTACACACAGACTAACATTACACACAGACTAACATTACACATAGACTAACATTACACACATACTAACATTACACACAGACTAACATTACACACAGACTAACATTACACACAGACTAACATTACACATAGACTAATATTACACATAGACTAACATTACACATAGACTAACATTACACACAGACTAACATTACACACAGACTAACATTACATACAGACTAACATTACACATAGACTAACATTAAACACAGACTAACATTACACACGGACTAACATTACACACAGACTAACATTACACACAGACTAACAATAAACACAGACTAACATTACACACAGACTAACATTACACATAGACTAACATTACACACAGACTAACATTACATACAGACTAACATTACACACAGACTAACATTACACACAGACTAACAATAAACACAGACTAACATTACACACAGACTAACATTACACATAGACTAACATTACACACAGACTAACATTACACATAGACTAACATTACACACAGACTAACATTACACACAGACTAACATTACACACAGACTAACATTACACACAGACTAACATTACACATAGACTAACATTACACACAGACTAACAATAAACACAGACTGACATTGCACACAGACTAACATTAAACATAGACTAACATTACACACAGACTAACATTACACATAGACTAACATTACACACAGACTAACATTACACACAGACTAACATTACACACAGACTAACATTACACACAGACTAACATTACACTATAGACCTAACATTACACACAGACTAACAATAAACACAGACTAACATTGCACACAGACTAACATTAAACATAGACTAACATTACACACAGACTAACATTACACATAGACTAACATTACACACAGACTAACATTACACATAGACTAACATTACACACAGACTAACATTACACACAGACTAACATTACACACAGACTAACATTACACACAGACTAACAATAAACACAGACTAACATTACACACAGACTAACATTACACATAGACTAACATTACACACAGACTAACATTACACACAGACTAACATTACACACAGACTAACATTACACACAGACTAACGTTACACTTAGACTAACATTACACTTAGACTAACATTACACACAGACTAACATTACACACAGACTAACATTACACACAGACTAACATTACACAAACACTATCATTACACACAGACTAACATTACACACAGACTAACATTACACGGACTAACATTACACACGGACTAACATTACACACGGACTAACATTACACACAGACTAACATTACACACAGACTAACATTACACACAGACTAACATTACACAAACACTATCATTACACACAGACTAACATCACACACAGACTAACATTACACAAACACTATCATTACACACAGACTAACATTACACACAGATTAGCATTACACACAGACTAACATTACACACAGACTAACATTACACACAGACTAACATTACACACAGACTAACATTGCACGTAGACTAACATTACACACAGACTAACATTACACATAGACTAACATTACACTTAGACTACCATTACACACAAACTAACATTACACACGGACTAACATTACACAAAGACTAACATTACACACAGACTAACATTACACACAGACTAACATTACACACAGACTAACATTACACACAGACTAACATTACACATAGACTAACATTACACACAGACTAACATTACACACAGACTAACATTACACACAGACTAACATTACACATAGACTAACATTACACACAGACTAACATTACACACAGACTAACATTACACACAGACTAACATTACACACAGACTAACATTACACATAGACTAACATTACACACAGACTAACATTACACTTAGACTACCATTACACACAAACTAACATTACACACAGACTAACATTACACACAGACTAACATTACACACAGACTAATATTACACACAGACTAACATTACACACAGACTAACATTACACACAGACTAACATTACACACAGACTAACATTACACACAGACTAACATTACACACAGACTAGCATTACATATAGACTAACATTACACACAGACTAACATTACACACAGACTAACATTACACACAGACTAACATTACACACAGACTAACATTACACACAGACTAACATTACACACAGACTAATATTACACACAGACTAACATTACACACAGACTAACATTACACATAGACTAACATTACACACAGACTAACATTACACACGGACTAACATTACACACAGACTAGCATTACACACAGACTAACATTACACACAGACTAACATTACACATAGACTAACATTACACACAGACTAACATTACACACGGACTAACATTACACACAGACTAGCATTACACACAGACTAACATTACACACAGACTAACATTACACACAGACTAACATTTCACATTTTTTTGACATTCGTCTAGCTCAAGGGTATTCCTGTCACAATGTTCCGCGCGTCGCGTGAAAGTTGTCCACCGAATGGGGGAACCGCGCATTGCAGCGATTCGTTTCATTTCATTTATTTTGGTATAGCCCTGTGAGCCATTCGGCTCTTGAATCGGGTGCAACCGCAACAAACACAAAAAAACAAAAACGTGAACAAGAAAAAACATCTTAAAGTGACTATGTGACTGTGCAAACAGAAAAATCCAAGAAAAACAGCAAAATCTTCTAGCAAAAGGACCGTACACCAACGCTGTGTGCAAAAATCCCAGTGGGATGCAAGTCAATCAACAACAACAACAACAGCCACCACAAGAAAACATGGATTAAGGCCATCAGTCTAACTCCGTACTACAACAAAACAAACAGACGTGGCTCAAACGAAAAAAACTTTTGGAAAAATCACCAAAAAAAAGGCCATCAAAGCAATGTAACAGTGGGCGGCCCCCACGCAGACCCCTCGCGTCTCTTACACCGCCGCTTTACGTGATGCGCTTTTGTGAAATGGCGCGCTCGATTTCATTCACACTTTACTTTGGTTACGCACGCGCGCGCGCTCACGCTTTCGCCAACCGCTGTTGGAACAACGATCTCCGACGAAAGTTGGTCCGCGGTGTTGCGGAACGTGGCTTGCGAGCTCATTGTTAGTCGGAGGGGGGGGGGGGGCAAATTTGAGTTGAGTAGCGATGTCTGCCTGAGGTGCAGCAGCACTGACAACCAGCACAGAGTCACCGTCAGTCAGCATCTCCTCCTCCTAGCGTCCCAATTTGGCAGATCCATTCCGCGTGAACTTTGACTTGCGCTCACATTCGTCTACAAATATCTCCGGTAAACGTGCTGAAACACCTCTTTGTTTTACTTCATTTCATTCAATTTCCTTTCTTTAAATAGGCTGTTACTATGTTGTATTATACACGCGGTAGTCATTGTAAGTGCAATGCGTGTACTGCTATCGGTGAAATCGTGTAGACGTAAGAATGAGGTGCCGATAGTGTTGCTCTCCCTAACCCCAACCATTTCCGATATTTACTATGTGAAAACGACTGTTCGATTTCGATTTAAAGCTTTCGTGACTGCAAGGATTCATCTTCTTTGGTTCTTTCGGTAAAGTCACGTAGAATGAGAATAAAATAATAAATTCATAAAATAAAATAACACAAAATTCTCACGACGTTTGTGTTATTTTATTTTATCAATTTATTATTTTATTCCCATTCTACGTGACTTTACCGAAAGAACCAAAGAAAACGACTGTTCGATTTAAGCGATTTTGAGACAGGCGCTGCTTTTCAACAACGCAGCCGCCGCCCCGCATAAAGCGAGAGGTGACTGTGATGTGAACACCGCGCATTCAAGCGAGGACTTACCGTCGACGGGGACCTCCTGGATCCAAAGCACAACGTGAAAGGTTGGGAGCCACGTACCAGACATCCAAGACGGCCCAAGTTGTCCACGGGATGAAACACTTCCAAATTTGACATCTTAGGGGGTGAGCGAGTCTCGCTGGACTTGGATCAGGTAGGACTCAGGTGGCTGGGACATGTGCTTAGAATGGAACCTGAATTCCAAAGTGACACTACAAGGGAAAAGACCACAGGGCAGGCCGAAGACCACCTGGAGGCTATGGGCCTGTCTTGGGGTGAATCAGAGCAAGCTGCTTTAAAGGCCATCCAGCATGGCATGGGCTTGTTGATGCGGTGCGTCATTGACGTATACCGAAGGTGGAGCATAGAGGTCTCCCCCGTACCTTGAAAATGTAGGTCTTGGGCTGACAGCCGCAGCGGGTGAACATGGAGTCGATTGGGGAAGGCACCCGCCACACCGTGGAGACCCTTTGAGGGGCTATCCTCAGTCTCAGGTTCCAGAAGAACGGCCCTGATGGTGGAGGTGACATTCGCAGCTTAGCATGCCGAGGGTGGCACAACACGGCAGCAGCAGCGGAGACCGCTACTGCTCATAGACTAACATTGTACCACAGACTAACATTGTGCCATAGACTAACATTGTGCCACAGACTAACATTGTACCATAGACTAACATTGTACCATAGACTAGCACTGTGCCATAGACTAGCACTGTACCATAGACTAACACTGTACTATGGACTAACATTGTACCATAGACTAACATTGTGCCATAGACTAGCACTGTACCATAGATTAACACTGTACCACAGACTAACATTGTACCACAGACTAACATTGTGCCATAGACTAACATTGTACCACAGACTAGCACTGTGCCATAGACTAGCATTGTACCATAGACTAGCACTGTACTATAGACTAACATTGTACCATAGACTAACATTGTACCATAGACTAGCACTGTGCCATAGACTAGCATTGTACCATAGACTAGCACTGTACTATAGACTAACATTGTACCATAGACTAACATTGTGCCATAGACTAGCACTGTACCATAGACTAACACTGTACCACAGACTAACATTGTACCACAGACTAACATTGTGCCATAGACTAACATTGTACCATAGACTAGCACTGTACCATAGACTAACATTGTACCATAGACTAACATTGTACCATAGACTAACATTGTACCATAGGCTAACATTGTACCATAGACTAACATTGTACCATAGACTAACATTGTACCGTAGACTAACATTGTACCATAGACTAGCACTGTACCATAGACTAGCACTGTACCATAGACTAGCACTGTACTATGGACTAACATTGTACCATAGACTAACATTGTGCCATAGACTAGCACTGTGCCATAGACTAGCATTGTACCATAGACTAGCACTGTACTATAGACTAACATTGTACCATAGACTAACATTGTACCATAGACTAGCACTGTGCCATAGACTAGCATTGTACCATAGACTAGCACTGTACTATAGACTAACATTGTACCATAGACTAACATTGTGCCATAGACTAGCACTGTACCATAGACTAACACTGTACCACAGACTAACATTGTACCACAGACTAACATTGTGCCATAGACTAACATTGTACCATAGACTAGCACTGTACCATAGACTAACATTGTACCATAGACTAACATTGTACCATAGACTAACATTGTACCATAGGCTAACATTGTACCATAGACTAACATTGTACCATAGACTAACATTGTACCGTAGACTAACATTGTACCATAGACTAGCACTGTACCATAGACTAGCACTGTACCATAGACTAGCACTGTACTATGGACTAACATTGTACCATAGACTAACATTGTGCCATAGACTAGCACTGTACCATAGACTAACACTGTACCACAGACTAACATTGTACCACAGACTAACATTGTGCCATAGACTAACATTGTACCACAGACTAGCACTGTGCCATAGCCTAGCATTGTACCATAGACTAGCACTGTACTATAGACTAACATTGTACCATAGACTAACATTGTACCATAGACTAGCACTGTGCCATAGACTAGCATTGTACCATAGACTAGCACTGTACTATAGACTAACATTGTACCATAGACTAACATTGTGCCATAGACTAGCACTGTACCATAGACTAACACTGTACAACAGACTAACATTGTACCACAGACTAACATTGTGCCATAGACTAACATTGTACCATAGACTAGCACTGTACCATAGACTAACATTGTACCATAGACTAACATTGTACCATAGACTAACATTGTACCATAGGCTAACATTGTACCATAGACTAACATTGTACCATAGACTAACATTGTACCGTAGACTAACATTGTACCATAGACTAGCACTGTACCATAGACTAGCACTGTACCATAGACTAGCACTGTACCATAGACTAACATTGTACCATAGACTAACATTGCACCATAGACTAACATTGTACCATAGACTAGTATTGTACCATAGACTAACATTGTACCATAGACTAACATTGTACCATAGACTAACATTGTACCATAGACTAACATTTAACCATAGACTAACATTGTGCCATAGACCAGCACTGTACCATAGACTAGCACTGTACCATAGACTAACATTGTACCACAGACTAACATTGCACCACAGACTAACATTGTACCACAGACTAACATTGTACCATAGACTAACATTGTGCCATAGACTAACATTGTGTAGGGGACTGTACAAGAGAGGTTTCTAGAAGGGCAACTTGAGTTGGTGGAAAACAGGTGGCCGAAAGGCACTGTCACGTGGTATAATTAAGTGGGGGGGTTCACTGTCCAATGTGGGCGGGGCCCAGCGGGTATATACAGTGAGGGAAATAAGAATTTGATCCCCTGCTGATTTTGTACGTTTGCCCACTGACAAAGAAATGATGTCTATAATTTTAATGGTGGGTTTATTTGAACAGTGAGAGACAGAATAACAACAACAAAATCCCGAAAAACGCATGTCAAAAATGTTATAAATTTATTTGCATTTTAATGAGGGAAATAAGTATTTGACCCCTCTGCAAAACATGACTTAGTACTTGGTGGCAAAACCCTTGTTGGCAATCACAGAGGTCAGACGTTTCTTGTAGTTGGCCACCAGGTTTGCACACATCTCAGGAGGGATTTTGTCCCACTCCTCTTTGCAGATCTTCTCCAAGTCATTAAGGTTTCGAGGCTGACGTTTGGCAACTCGAACCTTCAGCTCCCTCCACAGATTGTCTATGGAAATAAGGTCTGGAGACTGGCTAGGCCACTCCAGGACCTTAATGTGCTTCTTCTTGAGCCACTCCTTTGTTGCCTTGGCCGTGTGTTTTGGGTCATTATGCTGGAATACCCATCCACGACCCATTTTCAATGCCCTGGCTGAGGGAAGGAGGTTTTTTTCACCCAAGATTTGACGGTACATGGCCCCGTCCATCGTCCCTTTGATGCGGTGAAGTTGTCCTGTCCCCTTAGCAGAAAAACACCCCCAAAGCATAATGTTTCCACCTCCATGTTTGATGGTGGGGATGGTGTTCTTGGGGTCATAGGCAGCATTCCTCCTCCAAACACGGCGAGTTGAGTTGATGCCAAAGAGCTCCATTTTGGTCTCATCTGACCACAACACTTTCACCCAGGTGTCCTCTGAATCATTCAGATATTCATTGGCAAACTTCAGACGGGCATGTCTATGTGCTTTCTTGAGCAGAGGGACCTTAGCAATTGTTTTCTTGGTGACTATGGTCCCAGATGCCTTGAGATCATTGACAAGATCCTCCCGTGTAGTTCTGGCCTGATTCCTTATCGTTCTCATGATCATTGCAACTCCACGAGGTGAGATCTTGCATGGAGCCCCAGGCGGAGGGACATTGACAATTCTTTTGTGTTTCTTCCATTTGCAAATAATCGCACCAACTGTTGTCACCTTCTCACCAAGCTGCTTGGCAATGGTCTTGCAGCCCATTCCAGCCTTGTGTAGGTCTACAATCTTGTCCCTGACATCCTTGGAGAGCTCTTTGGTCTTGGCCATGGTGGAGAGTTTGGAATCTGATTGATTGATTGATTGCTTCTGTGGACATATGTCTTTTATACAGGTAACAAGCTGAGATTAGGAGCACTCCCTTTAAGAGGGTGCTCCTAATCTCAGCTCGTTACCTGTATAAAAGACATCTGGGAGCCAGAAATCTTTCTGATTGAGAGGGGGTCAAATACTTATTTCCCTCATTAAAATGCAAATCAATTTATAACATTTTTGACATGCTTTTTCTGGATTTTTTTTGTTGTTATTCTGTCTCTCACTGTTCAAATAAACCTACCATTATAATTATAGACTGACTATTTCTTTGTCAGTGGGAAAACATACAAAAACAGCAGGGGATCAAATCCTTTTTTTCCCTCACTGTACCTCTATGAGCATATATCTCTACGTGTCAATATGGGTCTCAATGCATCTCTGTGGATCTTGTTCTCTATGCGTCTCAATGTATCTTCATGGGATTATCTAAATGGTCCACGGGTTGTGTTGCTTGGCCACAATCGTCCCGCTGTGACCTGTGACTGTAATGTCCCACATCCCGAGGAGATGCGGTGCAACATCAGCCTGGCAATGTTCTGGCGGATGCGGTCAATGGTTCCGCCGGTGTCTTCAAGAAGGAGGAGGAAGTCAAAGCCAAGAGGAGGTTTGCGATGGTGTTTTGATGTTTAATGAAGGTGGTGTCTATTCTATCATGATCGGTTTTTTAACGGTAGGGAGGCCTGCAACGCACACACATCCAGGATCTAAACTCGTACCTTTCACCACGACAGTGTCTCCGTTGGGCAAAGTCGTTATTCCGCTCACCGGTCTCTCATTGCAGATGTCCCCGTCCACGTACTCTGTACACCAGAGGAGAGGGACGGTGTTACACGACATTAGATTGCCATGAAGAGTGGCAGCCAAGGTTATAATAGTGGCAGTGCCATCGTAGTTATCATCGTAGATTAACACTGATACATAGACTAACACTCACCCATAGATTAACACTGATCCATAGACTAACATTCACCCATAGATTAACACGGATCCATAGACTAACACTCACCCATAGATTAACACTGATCCATAGACTAACACTCACCCATAGATTAACACAGATTCATAGACTAACACTCACCCATAGATTAACACTGATCCATAGACTAACACTCACCCATAGATTAACACAGATTCATAGACTAACATTCACCCATAGATTAACACAGATTCATAGACTAACACTCACCCATAGATTAACACAGATTCATAGACTAACACTCACCCATAGATTAACACAGATTCATAGACTAACACTCACCCATAGATTAACACAGATTCATAGACTAACACTCACGCGTAGATTAACACAGATTCATAGACTAACACTCACCCATAGATTAACACAGATTCATAGACTAACACTCACCCATAGATTAACACTGATCCATAGACTAACACTCACCCATAGATTAACACAGATTCATAGACTAACACTCACCCATAGATTAACACAGATTCATAGACTAACACTCACCCATAGATTAACACAGATTCATAGGCTAACACTCACCCATAGATTAACACAGATTCATAGACTAACACTCACCCATAGACTAACACTGATCCATAGACTAACACTCTCCCGTATATTAACACAGATTCATAGACTAACACTCACCCATAGATTAACACAGATTCATAGACTAACACTCACCCATAGATTAACACTGATCCATAGGCTAACACTCACCCATAGATTAACACAGATTCATAGACTAACACTCACCCATAGATTAACACTGATCCATAGGCTAACACTCACCCATAGATTAACACAGATTCATAGACTAACACTCACCCATAGATTAACACTGATCCATAGACTAACACTCACCCATAGATTGACACAGATTCATAGACTAACACTCACCCATAGATTAACACTGATCCATAGACTAACACTCACCCATAGATTAACACAGATTCATAGACTAACACTCACCCATAGATTAACACAGATTCATAGACTAACACTCACGCGTAGATTAACACAGATTCATAGACTAACACTCTCACCCATAGATTAACACAGATTCATAGACTAACACTCACCCATAGATTGACACTGATCCATAGACTAACACTCACCCATAGATTAACACAGATTCATAGACTAAGACTCACCCGTAGATTAACACAGAATCATAGACTAACACTCACCCATAGATTAACACTGATCCATAGACTAACACCGGACCTATAGACTAACACTGGACCTACATTAACACAAGACCCATAGACTATAACTATACCCATAAATTAACACTGGACCCACAGACTCAAGACAGACATCGACTAGAAATCCTGTTTCCAAAAATGTGCTAAGTTTGTTATCTCAAACTGCCTATTTCTCTCTCAAACAATGTTACCAGGCTCTCGTAAGTTATTCGCTCTGTCTCTCCACAAAACCCTCTCTAAAATGTACCAGTCTTACTGGATCTTTCTCTCCCCTGGCCACCGCGGGGTGGATTTCCACAAAGCCCTCTCTAAAACTTACCAGACTTCCTGGGTCTTTCTCTCGCCCTGCCACCGTGGGGTGGATTTCCACAAAACCCTCTCCAAAATTTACCAGACTTGCTGGGTTTTTCTCTCCCCCGGCCACCGTGGGGTGGATTTCCACACAGCTATCTCTAAAATTTACCAGAAATGCTGGGTCTTTCTCTCCCCATGCCACCGCTGGGTGGATTTCCACAAAACCCTCTCTAAAATGTACCAGAATTGCTGGGTCTTTCTCTCTCCCTGCCACCGTGGGGTGGATTTCCACAAAACCCTCTTTAAAATGTACCAGACTTGCTGGGTCTTTCTCTCCCCATGCCACCGCGGGGTGGATTTCCACACAGCACTCTCTAAAATGTACCAGTCTTGCTGGTTCTTTCTCTTCCCATGCCACCGCGGGGTGGATTTCTACACAGCTTTCTCATTGACATGCTAATTTATCTGCTCCAGCAGACCCACCTCTAACTCTGCCCCACCACCCCCCCCCCCCTCTCTATTAAAGGCCACGACACAGAGGCATTGGGTCTCTGTGTGTCTATGTTGTATGTCTCTCTCTGCTTGTGTGTCTGACTGCGTGTCTCCGTGTCTCTGCTTTGTCTCTCTCTCTCACATTTAGTTCGACCTGATGACGGTTGCTTTTGTTGCAACCGAAACGTCGTAATCTATTATTCAATTTATTTTCTTTCCACGTGACTTTACCGAAAGGACCAGAGAGTAGTAAGTCCTGCAGTCACGGACGCTTTCAAATCAAGTTAGAATACCTGTCTTTGCCACTGGGACTTGCCCACCACGATGGCCATCTGCGGTCTGCACTGTTGGGACTTGCTTGATGGGCGGCCGATAGGTGCTGCCCTCCCCAGACCCATTGTCATGCCACGATTGGTCGGTGGTCATCTTTCCGGGTCTGCGGGTGATCACTCTGCACACGGCCGGGACGGAGATAAGCAATGGACAATAACTGATGGGGATAAATAAATAAATAAACAGCCGGTGACTTCACCCCCACAGGGCCAATGGTCGAGGCACACTTTAAACCCAGTCACCACGGTGCCTTAGGAAATGTTAACTACCTCGCCCGGCATGCAGGAGGTCGTGTCCCTATGTATCTCCGAGCATCTCTATGTGTGTCTGTGTATATCTATATGCCTGTGAGTCTCAATGGGTTTACAATACGGCCCATAGTTTCGGGATTGCATGGCTACAATCGTAACAATCTGGCTTGTATAATGCAGGTTTGTTTTCGGGCTAGATCGCGTAAATATATAAATGTGTCGTTAAACCTGCCAATTAGTAAGATTTGTCACGAAAAGAGAACATGCCAAATCGTGACTGGTACAGCACACCGGTGTGTTCGAGAGCCAAACCACAACGTTTACAATCTGAGTACGTTTCGCAACAGCCACATATCTGGCTGTCACCTGATGAAGCTAGTTGTCACCCGTATTATGGACGATATTGGTCGCGAAAGCCCACGTGTTAAATCGTGGCTTATCTTTAACGTATCTCTATGGGTCGCCATGTGTGTCTCTATTGGTCTCTACGCGTCTCTATGGGTCTCTCTGTGTCTCTAAATAGCTCTATGGGTCTCTCCGTGCCTCTTACGTGTGGTGGAAAGACTTTAGTCTTCCAATGATCTTGAGCGCTAGGGCTGTCTGGAGTCATGCTCCTGGTAGGGTTTTCCATGGTGGTAAGTTCGAGGGGGGAGGCCCGAGGCGAGGTACGATCCAAGCTGTTGTAGTACCCCCCCCCCCCCACCGAGTGGGTGGGGCTCTATAGCTGTGAGTCTCCATGGGTTTACAATACGGCCCATAGTTTCGGGATTGCATGGATGCGCTTGCAACATTATGGATTGTCTTTAACAATATCTCTGTGGTTCATATTCTTGGTTCTTTCGGTAAAGTCACGTTGAAGGGAAACAATAAAATAATAATATATATAACAATATATATAACAATATATATTTTATTATTTTATTGTTTCCCTTCAACGTGACTTTACCGAAAGAAAAAGAATATGAATCACTACAGACACGAAAGCTTTAAATCAAAATATATCTCTGTGGGTCACTATGTGTGTCTCTATCGGTTTCTATGTATCTCTATGGGTCTCTCGGTGTCCCTGTGAGTCTCTATGGGTCTCTCCGTGTCGCTACGTGGCTCTGGGTTTATGGTACATAGAATAGATATTGTGGCCACGTGTTCGTTACCTCTCAGCAGGCCACGTGGAGGCCACAATGGAGGTGGACAAGAAGGTGGACGGTTTGGTAAGTGGTTCTTGAGTGGTGGGATTTGGAGTTGTGGTAAGCATGATGTAATTGGTACGTGGTTCTTTAGTGGTGGGATTTGGATTTGTGGTTGGAACGGTATAGTTGGTAAGCAGTTCTTGAGTGGTGGGATTTGATCTTGTGGTAAGCACAGTATAGTTGGTAAGTGGTTCTTTAGTGGTGGGATTTGGATTTGTGGTTGGAACGGTATAGTTGGTAAGCAGTTCTTGAGTGGTGGGATTTGATCTTGTGGTAAGCACAGTATAGTTGGTAAGTGGTTCTTGAGTGGTGGTATTTGGAGTGGTGGTAGGAACGGTATAGTTGGTAAGCAGTTCTTGAGTGGTGGGATTTGATCTTGTGGTAAGCACAGTATAGTTGGTAAGTGGTTCTTGAGTGGTGGGATTTGGAGTGGTGGTAAGAACGGTATAGTTGGTAAGCAGCTCTTGAGTGGTGGGATTTGGAGTTGTGGTAAGAACGGTATAGTTAGTAAGTGCTTCTTGAGTGGTGGTATTTGATGTTGTCGTAAGCACGGTATAGTTAGTAAGTGGTTCTTGAGTGGTGGTATTTGGAGTGGTGGTAAGCACTGTGTAGTTGGTAAGTGGTTCTTGAGTGGTGGTATTTGGAGTTGTGGTAAGCACAGTGTAGTTGGTAAGTGGTTTTTGAGTGGTGGGATTTGGAGTGGTGGTAAGAACGGTATAGTTAGTAAGTGGTTCTTGAGTGGTGGTATTTGGAGTGGTGGTAAGCACTGTGTAGTTGGTACGTGGTTCTTGAGTGGTGGGATTTGGAGTGGTGGTAAGAACGGTATAGTTGGTAAGCAGTTCTTGAGTGGTGGGATTTGGAGTTGTGGTAAGAACGGTATAGTTAGTAAGTGGTTCTTGAGTGGTGGTATTTGATGTTGTCGTAAGCACGGTATAGTTAGTAAGTGGTTCTTGAGTGGTGGTATTTGGAGTGGTGGTAAGCACTGTGTAGTTGGTAAGTGGTTCTTGAGTGGTGGTATTTGGAGTGGTGGTAAGAACGGTATAGTTGGTAACTGGTTCTTGAGTGGTGGGATTTGGAGTTGTGGTAAGCACAGTGTAGTTTGTAAGTGGTTCTTGAGTGGTGGGATTTGATGTTGTGGTAAGCACGGTATGATTAGTAAGTGGTTCTTGAGTGGTGGTATTTGGAGTGGTGGTAAGAACGGTATAGTTGGTAAGCAGTTCTTGAGTGGTGGGATTTGGGGTTGTGGTAAGCACGGTATAGTTGGTAAGTGGTTCTTGAGTGGTAGGATTTGGGGTTTCAAGAGGGACCGTGACAGTTAGTGGTTCCTGAGTGGTGTGAATTGTAGGTTCAGGAGTCAGAGCAGGTAGGGACGGGGCAATGGGACCCAGTGGTGGCTTCAGAGGGAGAGTTTCTTTACCACTCTGCAACAACAACAATAACAACAATCAGTCTGGCAAGCAATATCTTGAACCTGTCTTAGTGACTCATTTAGGCTAACTCCATCATCATCATGAGCCACTTGCAGATTGCTTTTTCACCTCCAAAATTGGCACAATCCAAAATGCAGAATAAACCTAAACCCTGGGTCCTCCTGGCCACAATTATCCCCTCCTCACCTTTTTGCTATGTCATGGGACCCTTTTTTTGCCAGTCTCAAAGTGTAAAAAAATAAGAAGAGGGTAAAATCTATTCTTATTTTTCATAATTTGATACCAGGGGAAAGGGTCTCGTGATATAGCTAGCTCACCACAAACTATAAATGCTCTGATGTGTGCATTGTCTTCGTACTGTTCGCCTTTTGGCGTTGTTCTTTGGTCTGCTAACACTGCTGGTAGTGGGCCTAGGCCAGACATGGGCAAAGTACGGCCCCCGGGCCGTATACGGCCCGTTGGGCCTTTTAATCCGGCCCGCCGAACTTGTCCAAATATTATTATTAAATTACATTTTACCTTTCTCCTGCAATGCCCCCATTTCCCCATTAGATGGCGGACTTTGACCGGGAGTTAGGACATGTTTTTGTATTGCTCATTTATTGCAAATAAATGCTGTGCTGCCTGTTAAAGGCCAAATCCTTTCACGCAATAATTTTTAAAACGTCATCTATATTTAGTTCACACAAACACTCCCATCCGTGTGTTTCCTGGCCCGGCCCCTCCTGTCAAATTTTAAAAACCCCATTGTGGCCCCACGAGTCAAAAAATGTGCCCATCCCTGGCCTAGGCCATACAGAAGGATGTCTCTGGTTTAGGGCAATCAGTTTCAAAGGCAATGCTTCATATATTAATTGTCAGAGTGTGTTTGTTTACATATTCACCACAAGTACGTGTGGTTTAATGTAGACTTGATCACTTTAAAAAAGGTATCAATATGAGAAGAGGGTAAAACCGATTATTTTCATACTTTGATACTGGCTATAAGGCCCCATGGTGTAGCTGCTACTCCGCAAGCTATTGATGCTCTGATGCATGCATTGTATTGTACTTTTGCTGACAGATGTGGCTGCAAGTTTGTTCGTACATGTTACGCATATCGTTTATTGTTCAATTTGAATCGAAGTTCCTACGATTACTGTTGTTACATTGCATTTTATAGCTTTATTTTGGTGATTTCTAAAACACATGGTGAAAGAACAGAACTGTCGGGACGAGAGTGCTCCAATGTTCTTTCACCTGATGAAGGCTACTTGTGTTGTGGCCGAAACGTCGTGAGAATTGTATTGTCTTATTTGATTTTATTTTATTATTTTATTCTCATTCTACGTGACTTTACCGAAAGAACCAAAGAAGATGAATCCTTGCAGTCACGAAAGGTTTAAATCGAAATTTAAGCCGTGTTTCTTGCGGAAGTGCGGAGTTGGCCTGAGAACTTTAGTCTCAGTTGTCTTATGGTTGTTATTGTTTGTCTTGCATCACACTGGGATTTTTGCACGCAGCGTTGTAATACGGTGTTTTTGTTTTTTTCTGGAAGATTTTGCTGGTTTATCCCAGGACGTTTCTGTTGCGCGTCGTCGTCACTTTAAAATGTTTCTCTGTTCATATTTTGTTTGTTGCGGTTGCACCCGACTCAAGAGCCGCATGGCTCACAGGGCTATATACCTAATAAATGAAACTTGAAACTTTTGGCCTTTTGGTGTTGTTCTTTGGTCTACTAACACAAGCAGTGGGGCTAGGCCAAAAAGTATGCTGTCTTTGGTGTCGGAAAATAAGTTTCAAAGGCAATGCTGCATTTATGATCATCTTAACACCTGTTTTATTGCCAGAAAGGCTAAAATATATTCTGACAAGTGATACGTTCTGTGACTGGCAAAAGGTCCCCATGATAGATGGAGATTAGTCCACACCCTCTGCTGTATCGCCTTCTCCCGGCAGAGCCAGCAGTTATGGATTCTTTAGCTATTATTTAGCTGCTGCTATAAATTCCCACGTGGTTTTGGTGACGACGACGAACATGATGATGATGATGATATCAGACACTATCGATGAGCTATCGCGCGTGGCCAGGTCGCCTCTGAACTAGATCCTACGTGTGTTCAACGAACAAAAGCTGATAGCTCAGTTGGCCTTTTAGTTGCGTCTTAGTGTGTCCAATCACAGTCCAGCGTTCACCAATCCCCCCCGATTCCTAACGAGCATTGAGACTCGCCGCACCTTATCGGGTTTGATGGGGTCTCCAAGTGCTACGGCTTGCTGCTCCTTATTGTCCGTCCCAGCCGGGGTCTTCTTGTGTGGAGGGGGTTGATCCCCTTGCTGGTCCTTCTCAACATTCTCCTCCAAAGGTGAGGCCTGGGAAGGTGCCTGAGCGAGCTGCACGGGGAGGCTCTTTGCGGGGGACACCTCTGAGTAGTCGTAGTCTGGGCAGAGGGACAGCAAGTGGCGGTGAAGGCGTGCATGTGTGGCACAGATGCTGCCGCATTGTACATAGACTCAACACTGCACCATAGACTCAACACTGCACCATAGACTCAACACTGCACCATAGACTCAACACTACCACCTATAGACTCAACACTACCACCTATAGACTCAACAATGCACCATAGACTCAACACTGCCACCCATCGACTCAACACTGCACCATAGACTCAACACTACCACCTATAGACTCAACACTGCACCATAGGCTCAACACTACCCATAGACTCAACACTGCCACCTATAGACTCAACACTGCACCATAGACTCAACACTGCACCATAGACTCAACACTGCCACCTATCTACTCAACACTGCACCATAGACTCCAAACTGCCACCTATCTACTCAACACTGCACCATAGACTCAACACTACCACCTAAAGACTCAACACTGCACCATAGACTCAAAACTGCCCATAGACTAAACACTGCACCATAGACTCAACACTGCCACCCATAGACTCAACACTGCACCATAGACTCAACACTGCCCCATAGACTCAACACTGCCCATAGACTAAACACTGCACCATAGACTCAACACTGCACCATAGACTCAACACTTCACCATAGACTCAACACTGCACCTATAGACTCAACACTGCCCATAGACTCAACACTGCCCAAAGACTCAACACTGCACCATAGACTCATCACTGCACCATAGACTCAACACTACCACCTATAGACTCAACACTGCACCATAGACTCAACACTGCACCTATAGACTCAACACTGCCCATAGACTCAACACTGCGCTATAGACTCAACACTGCACCATAGACTCAACACTACTACCTATAGACTCAACACTACCACCCATCTACTCAACACTGCACCATAGACTCAACACTACCCATAGACTCAACACTACCACCCATCTACTCAACACTGCACCATAGACTCAACACTGCACCATAGACTCAACACTACCACCTATCTACTCAACACTGCACCATAGACTCAACACTACCACCTATCTACTCAACACTGCACCATAGATTCAACACTACCACCTATCTACTCAACACTGCCCATTGACTCAACACTACCACCTATCTACTCAACACTGCATCAGACTCAACACTGCCACATATAGACTCAACACTGCACCATAGACTCAACACTGCCACCTATCGACTCAACACTGCACCATAGACTCAACACTGCACCATAGACTCAACACTGCACAATAGACTCAACACTACCACCTATCTACTCAACACTACCACCTATCTACTCAACACTGCCACCCATCGTCTCAACACTGCACCATAGACTCAACACTACCACCTATATACTCAACACTGCACCATAGACTCAACACTGCCACCTATAGACTCAGCACTGCACCATAGACTCAACACTGCACCATGGACTCAACACTGCCACCTATAGACTCAACACTGCACCATAGGCTCAACACTACCCATAGACTCAACACTGCCACCTATAGACTCAACACTGCACCATAGACTCAACACTGCACCATAGACTCAACACTGCCACCTATCTACTCAACACTGCACCATAGACTCAAAACTGCCACCTATCTACTCAACACTGCACCATAGACTCAACACTACCACCTAAAGACTCAACACTGCACCATAGACTCAAAACTGCCCATAGACTAAACACTGCACCATAGACTCAACACTGCCACCCATAGACTCAACACTGCACCATAGACTCAACACTGCCCCATAGACTCAACACTGCCCATAGACTAAACACTGCACCATAGACTCAACACTGCACCATAGACTCAACACTTCACCATAGACTCAACACTGCACCTATAGACTCAACACTGCCCATAGACTCAACACTGCCCAAAGACTCAACACTGCACCATAGACTCATCACTGCACCATAGACTCAACACTACCACCTATAGACTCAACACTGCACCATAGACTCAACACTGCACCTATAGACTCAACACTGCCTATAGACTCAACACTGCACTATAGACTCAACACTGCACCATAGACTCAACACTACTACCTATAGACTCAACACTACCACCCATCTACTCAACACTGCACCATAGACTCAACACTACCCATAGACTCAACACTAACCACCCATCTACTCAACACTGCACCATAGACTCAACACTGCACCATAGACTCAACACTACCACCTATCTACTCAACACTGCACCATAGACTCAACACTACCACCTATCGACTCAACACTGCACCATAGATTCAACACTACCACCTATCTACTCAACACTGCCCATTGACTCAACACTACCACCTATCTACTCAACACTGCATCAGACTCAACACTGCCACATATAGACTCAACACTGCACCATAGACTCAACACTGCCACCTATCGACTCAACACTGCACCATAGACTCAACACTGCACCATAGACTCAACACTGCACAATAGACTCAACACTACCACCTATCTACTCAACACTACCACCTATCTACTCAACACTGCCACCCATCGTCTCAACACTGCACCATAGACTCAACACTACCACCTATATACTCAACACTGCACCATAGACTCAACACTGCCACCTATAGACTCAGCACTGCACCATAGACTCAACACTGCACCATAGACTCAACACTGCCACCTATAGACTCAGCACTGCACCATAGACTCAACACTACCACCTATAGACTCAACACTGCACCATAGACTCAACACTACCACCTATCTACTCAACACTACCACCTATCTACTCAACACTACCACCTATAGACTCAACACTGCACCATAGACTCAACACTACCCATAGACTAAACACTGCACCATAGACTCAACACTGCCACCTATAGACTAAGCACTGCACCATAGACTCAACACTGCTACCTATCTACTCATCACTGCACCATAGACTCAACACTACCACCTATAGACTCAACACTGCACCATAGACTCAACACTACCACCCATCTACTCAACACTACCACCTATAGACTCAACACTGCACCATAGACTCAACACTGCACAATAGACTCAACACTACCACCTATCTACTCAACACTACCACCTATCTACTCAACACTGCCACCCATCGTCTCAACACTGCACCATAGACTCAACACTACCACCTATATACTCAACACTGCACCATAGACTCAACACTGCCACCTATAGACTCAGCACTGCACCATAGACTCAACACTGCACCATAGACTCAACACTGCCACCTATAGACTCAGCACTGCACCATAGACTCAACACTACCACCTATAGACTCAACACTGCACCATAGACTCAACACTACCACCTATCTACTCAACACTACCACCTATCTACTCAACACTACCACCTATAGACTCAACACTGCACCATAGACTCAACACTACCCATAGACTAAACACTGCACCATAGACTCAACACTGCCACCTATAGACTAAGCACTGCACCATAGACTCAACACTGCTACCTATCTACTCATCACTGCACCATAGACTCAACACTACCACCTATAGACTCAACACTGCACCATAGACTCAACACTACCACCCATCTACTCAACACTACCACCTATAGACTCAACACTGCACCATAGACTCAACACTACCACCTATCTACTCAACACTGCTTCTCAGCTCTCACCCCCCCTCCCCCACCTCCACCCCTTCCTCACACACCTCCCCTCACCCCCCCTTACCCCCCACCTCCCTTACCCCCCCTCCTCCCCCCCCACCACTCCCTTCCTCACCCTCCTCCGGGGTCTTGTCGGTGCAGAACTCGCCGTGGTCCGGGCAGCACTCCCCAAACTCCACGCACGTCGAGTCGCAGTGGCAGCGCCGGCCACGGCGGAAGGGCTCCTCGCAGCGGCCTCGACAGGACGACTCTGACATCACCGCCCCCCCCCCCCCACCGCCAACCACGCGCGCGACATTTTAAAAAAAGTCCGCCGGCAAAGCCTCTGATAGGCTGCTTGGCGGGGGTGGCGGTGGCTGTTAGAGGCCGTCCGTGAAGTGACATCACGCGAATTTTGACGATTTTTTTACGCCCCCCGCCCCCCCCCCCCCCAACACCCCACCCACCCAGTCACACGGCCTCACAAAAAGTCAGAACCGCCCCCCCCGCACTCGAATATGACGTCACAAAGCTCTGGCTCCACCCCCCACTCAAATATGACGTCAAAAAGCTCTACCCCCAACCCCCGTGAAGTGACATCACGCGAATTTTGACGATTTTTTGACGCCCACCGCCAACCCGCCCCCCCCCCCAACAACCCACCCACCCAGTCACACGGCGTCACAAAAAGTCAGAACCGCCCCCGCCCCCCCCCCCCCGCCCGCACTCGAATATGACGTCACAAAGCTCTGGCTCCACCCACACTCAAATATGACGTCACAAAGCTCTACCCCCAACCCCCGTGAAGTGACATCACGCGAATTTTGACGATTTTTTTACGCCCACCGCCACCCCCCCCCAACAACCCACCCACCCAGTCACACGGCGTCACAAAAAGTCAGAACTGCCCCGCCCCCCCCCCCCCCGCCCGCACTCGAATGTGACGTCACAAAGCTCTGGCTCCACCCCCCACTCAAATATGACGTCACAAAGCTCTACCCCCAACCCCAGTGAAGTGACATCACGCGAATGTTGACGATTTTTTTACGCCCACAGCCACCCCCCCCCCCCCCAACAACCCACCACACCCAGTCACACGGCGTCACAAAAAGTCAGAACCGCCCCGCCCCCCCGCACTCGAATATGACGTCACAAAGCTCTGGCTCCACCCCACACTCAAATATGACGTCACAAAGCTCTACCCCCACCCCCCGTGAAGTGACATCACGCGAATTTTGACGATTTTTGACGCCCACCGCCACCCCCCCCAACAACAACCCACCCAACCAGTCACACGGCGTCACAAAAAGTCAGAACCGCCCCCCCCCCCCCGCCCGCACTCGAATATGACGTCACAAAGCTCTGGCTCCACCCCCCACTCAAATATGACGTCACAAAGCTCTACCCCCCCCAAACCCCCGCCCACAAAAATATATAAAACATGCTTCGAATCAAATTCAAGGACAGTGCCAATTATCATTATCAGAGTTGTCTTTTTTTTGTTTGCGTTTTGACTGCTTGTGTTGTGGTTATTGCAAACACGATGCCTTGAATAAAGGTGTCAGTTTTTTGTGCCAGTTAAAAGGGTAAAAACCTATTTACTATGCTTCGAATCGCTTTAAACTATCGTCATTGTAGCGTAGCGCGTTATTTAACGTGGCGACGCGCTCTGATGTTGTGGGAGAAAACATTTATTTAAAAAAAGTATTTTTATTTAATTAAGTAGAACGCGTTGTCTGTGTTTATTTATAAAGTTGCGCATTTTGATGTGACGTCACAGTTCTCAAACCCCCCCCTCCTGCCCCCACCTCGTCACACATCGTCACAAATGTCTGACCCCCCCCCTCCCACCCCAGGTGCGTGACGTCATTTATGGACGGCCCCTTAGCGCCGCTACCACCCCCAGTCCCCCCATAAATGATGGCGATGATGTTGGTGGTGGTGGTAGTTGTGGTGGTGGTGATGATGATGGTAGTGGTGGTAGTGATGATGATGGTGGTGGTGGTGATGATGATGGTAGTGGTGGTAGTGATGATTATTGTGGTGGTGGTAGTGATGATGGTGGTAGTAGTGATGATGATGGTGGTGGTGGTGGTGGTAGTGATGATGATGGTGGTGGTTGTATTGATGATGATGGTAGTGGTGGTAGTGAAGATGATGGTGGTGGTTGTAGTGATGATGATGGTGGTGGTGGTAGTGATGATGATGGTGGTGGTGGTAGTGATGATGATGGTGGTGGTGGTAGTGATGATGATGGTGGTGGTAGTGATGATGATGGTGGTGGTGGTAGTGATGATGGTGGTGGTGGTAGTGATGATGATGGTGGTGGTGGTGATGATGGTGGTGGTGGTAGTGATGATGATGGTGGTGGTGGTAGTGATGATGGTGGTGGTGGTGGTAGTGATGATGATGGTGGTGGTTGTAGTGATGATGATGGTAGTGGTGGTAGTGATGATGATGGTGGTGGTTGTAGTGATGATGATGGTGGTAGTGATGATGATGGTGGTGGTGGTAGTGATGATGATGGTGGTGGTGGTGGTAGTGATGATGATGGTGGTGGTGGTAGTGATGATGATGGTGGTGGTGGTAGTGATGATGGTGGTGGTGGTGGTGGTGGTACTGATGATGATGGTGGTGGTGGTAGTGATGATGATGGTGGTGGTGGTAGTGATGATGGTGGTGGTGGTACTGATGATGATGGTGGTGGTGGTAGTGATGATGATGGTGGTGGTGGTAGTGATGATGATGGTGGTGGTGGTGGTAGTGATGATGATGGTGGTGGTGGTAGTGATGATGATGGTGGTGGTGGTAGTGATGATGATGATGGTGGTGGTGGTGGTAGTGATGATGATGGTGGTGGTGGTAGTGATGATGATGGTGGTGGTGGTAGTGATGATGATGGTGGTGGTAGTGATGATGATGGTGGTGGCAGTGATGATGATGGTGGTGGTGGTAGTGATGATGGTGGTGGTGGTGGTAGTGATGATGATGGTGGTGGTGGTGGTAGTGATGATGGTGGTGGTGGTGCTCATTATGATAGCGACGATGATTATGATGACGGCGATGATGATGGTGCTAATGATGGTGCTGATGATGGCGATGACGATGGTCATGATGGTGTTGATGATGATGATGGTGCTGATGATGATGATGATGACGATGGTGATGATGATGGTGCTGATGAATATGGTGCTGATGATGTGATGACAATGATGATAATGACGATGGTGATGATGGTGTTGATGATGGTGATGACGATGGTGGTGATGATGATGATGATGACGATGGTGCTGATGATCATGATGGTGCTGATGATGATGATGACGATGGTGGTGATGATGATGATGATGACGATGGTGCTGATGATAATGATGGTGCTGATGATGGTGATGACGATGGTGCTGATGATGATGATGATGACGATGGTTATGATAGTGTTGATGATGGTGATGACGATGGTGCTGATCATGATGGTGATGACGATGGTGATGACGATGGTGATGATGATGACGATGGTGATGACGGTGATGATATGATGACAAAGGTGCTGATGATGACGATGGTGATGATGATGATGATGACGACGGTTGATGACGACGGTTGATGACGATAATGATGACGATGGTGATGATGACGACGATGATGACGATGGTGATGACGACGATGACGACGGTTGATGACGACGATGATGACGATGGTGATGACGATGATGACGGCGATGATGACGACGATGACGACGACGGTTGATGACGACAGTTGATGACGATAATGATGACGATGGTGATGATGACGACGATGACGACAGTTGATGACGATGATGATGACGATGGTGATGACGATGACGACAGCGATGACGACGATGATGACGACAATGACGACGATGACGACGACGACGGTTGATGACGATAATGGTGACGATGGTGATGACGACGACGATGACGACGGTTCACGACGACGGTTGATGACGATGGTGATGACGACGATGACGACGATGACGACGACGACGGTTGATGACGACGACGATGTCTGTCTCACCACTGGTGCAGGCCCTCCTGAAGTCCCGGCAGCACTGCTTGAACTTCGTGCAGTCGAAGTCACAGGAGCAGGGGACGCCCCTCTCGAACGGCTCGCCACAGCGGCCCACGCACGACCCTCGTGGTGGGGAGAGACGCAGAGACAAAGATCCCCGTGTGGCCTGAGAGGACTGGTGAGGCGGGCAAGTGGTGGTGGGGCGGTAGCAGCACCGGGGGCCGCCAAACAACAACAACACCACCACCACCACCCACCCCAACACCCTCGTGCGCCGAGGAAGTGGTGGTGGTGGTGGTGATGGTGAAGGTGGTGGTGATGGTGAAGGTGGTGGTGGTGGTGATGGTGGTGGTGGTGATGGTGGTGGTGGTGATGGTGGTGGTGGTGATAGGGTTGGTGATGGTAGCGGTGGTGGTGATGATGGTAGTGGTGGTGGTGGTGGTGATGATGGTGGTGGTGGTGATGGTGATGGTGGTGATGGTGGTGATGGTGGTGGTGGCGATGATGGTGGTGGTGGTGGTGATAGGGTTGGTGATGGTGGTGGTGGTGGTGATAATGGTGATGGTGGTTGTAATGGTGGTGATAGGGTTGGTGATGGTAGCGGTGGTGGTGGTGGTGATGGCGGTGGTGGTGGTGGTGATAATGGTGATGGTGGTTGTAATGGTGGTGATAGGGTTGGTGATGGTAGCGGTGGTGGTGGTGGTGGTGATGGCGGTGGTGGTGATGGTGGTGGTGGTGATGGTGGTGGTGGTGATGGTGGTGATAGGGTTGGTGATGGTAGCGGTGGTGGTGATGATGGTGGTGGTGGTGGTGATGATGGTGGTGGTGGTGGTGATGGTGATGGTGGTGATGGAGGTGATGATGGTGGTGGTGATGGTGATGGTGGTGATGGTGGTGGCGATGATGGTGGTGGTGGTGATGGTGGTGATAGGGTTGGTGATGGTAGCGGTGGTGGTGATGATGGTGGTGGTGGTGGTGATGGTGGTGGTGGTGATGGTGATGGTGGTGATGGTGGTGATGGAGGTGATGATGGTGGTGGTGGTGATGGTGATGATGGTGGTGGTGGTGGTGGTGATGATGGTGGTGGTGAACGTGATAATGATGATGGTGGTGAAGGTGGTGATGGTGGTGGTGGTGGTGATGGTGGTGATAGGGTTGGTGATGGTAGCGGTGGTGGTGATTACGGTGGTGGTGGTGATGGTAGTGGTGGTGGTGATGGTGGTGATGGTAGCGGTGGTGGTGATGATGATGGTGATGATGGTGGTGGTAATGATGGTGGTGGCAATGGTGGTGGTGGGGGTGATGTTGGTGGTAATGATGATGATAGGGTTGGTGATGGAAGCGGTGGTGGTGATGATGGTAGTGGTGATGGTGGTGGTGATGGTGGTGCCGGTGATGGTAATGGTGGTGATAGGGTTGGTGATGGTAGCGGTGGTGGTGATGATGGTGATGGTGATGATGGTGGTGATGGTGGTGGTGGTGATGTAGGTGGTGATGGTGGTGGTGAAGATGATGGTTGTGGTGATGGTGGTGGTGGTGGTGGTGGTGGTGATGGTGCTGGTGATGGTGGTGATGATGGTGGTGATGGTGGTGGTGGTGATGATGATGGTGGTGGTGATGGTGGTGGTGCTGGTGGTGGTGGTGTTGGTGGTGCTAATGGTGATGGTAGCGGTGGTGGTGATGGTGGTGATGGTGGTGATGATAGTGGTGGTGGTGATGATGATGATGATTGTGGTGGTGATGATGATGATTGTGGTGGTGGTGGTGATGGTGTTGATGTTGGTGATGATGATGGTCGTGGTGATGGTAATGGACTCACTGTCTCCTGTTCTTAATGAGGTGGTGCTTTGCAGCAGCAGCGCCGTCGTCATCACGAACAGCAACACCGAGATCCCTCCCAGGGACATCCTGGCAGGAAAAGAGTCCACCAACTCAGTCACCCACTCAGTCACCCACTCACTCAGTCACCCACTCAGTCACCCACTCACTCAGTCACCCACTCACCCACTCAGTCACCCACTGACTCAGTCACCCACTCACTCACCCACTCACTCACTCACCCACTCACTCACCCACTCACTCACCCAGTCAGTCACCCACTCACTCAGTCACCCACTCACTCACTCACCCACTCAGTCACCCACTCAGTCACCCACTCACTCAGTCACCCACTCAGTCACCCACTCACTCAGTCACCCACTCACCCACTCAGTCACCCACTCACTCAGTCACCCACTCACTCACCCACTCACTCACTCACCCACTCACTCACCCACTCACTCACCCAGTCAGTCACCCACTCACTCAGTCACCCACTCACTCACTCACCCACTCAGTCACCCACTCAGTCACCCACTCACTCAGTCACCCACTCAGTCACCCACTCACTCAGTCACCCACTCACCCACTCAGTCACCCACTCACTCACTCACCCACTCACTCACTCACCCACTCACTCACCCACTCACTCACCCAGTCAGTCACCCACTCACTCAGTCACCCACTCACTCAGTCACCCACTCAGTCACCCACTCAGTCACCCACTCAGTCACCCACTCACTCACTCACCCACTCACTCACCCACTCACTCACGCACCCACTCAGTCACCCACTCAGTCACCCACTCACTCAGCAACTCAGTCACCCACTCAGTCACCACCTCAGACACCCACTCACTCACCCACTCACTCACCCACTCAGTCACCCACTCACTCACCCACTCACTCACCACTCATTCACCCACTCAATCACCCACTCACTAACCCACTCACTCACCCACTCAATCACCCACTCACACACCCACTCAGCCACCCACCCACTCATCCACCACTCACCCACTCATACACCCACTCAATCACCCACTCCCTCAGCCGTTCACTCACCCACTCACTCACACACTCACTCACCCACTCACTCACCCACTCACTCACTCATTCACCCACTCATTCACCCACTCAGTCACCCACTAACTCACTCACTCACCAACTCAGATAACCAATCACTCAACCACTGGCTCACCCACTCAGTCACCCACCAACTCACCCAATCACTCACCCACTCACTCACCTACTCACTCACCCACTCACTCACCCACGCATTCACCCACTCACCCACTCACTCACCTACTCAATCAACCACTCACTCACCCATTCACCCAAAAATGACTCACCCACTCACTCACCCACTCGCTCACCTAATCACTCACCCACTCACTCACCCATTCACCCACACATTCAGCCACTCACTTACTCACCCACCCAACCACTCACTCACCCACTCACTCCCACACTCATTCACTTAGGCACCCACTCACAAACCCACTCAGTCACCCACCCATTCACCCACCACTCACCCACTCATACACCCACTCAATCACCCACTCCCTCAGCCGTTCACTCACCCACTCACTCACACACTCACTCACCCACTCAGTCACCCACTCACTCACCCACTCATTCACCCACTCACTCACTCACCCACTCAGTCACCCACTAACTCACTCACTCACTCACCAACTCAGATAACCAATCACTCACCCACTCGCTCACCCACTCAGTCACCCACCAACTCACCCACGCACCCACCCACTCACTCACCTACTCACTCACCCACTCACTCACCCACTCATTCACCCACTCACCCACTCACACACCTACTCAATCACCCACTCACTCACCCATTCACCCACCAAATCACTCACCCACTCACTCACCCACTCGCTCACCTAATCACTCACCCACTCACTCACCCATTCACCCACACATTCAGCCACTCACTCACTCACCCACCCAACCACTCAACCACTCACTCACCCACTCACTCCCCCACTCACTCACTTAGTCAGCCACTCACTCACCCATTCAGTCACCCACCCACTCGCTAATCCACTCACTCATTCACTCACCCACTCACTCACTCACCCACTTACTCACTCACTCATTCACTTTCTCACCCACTCACCTACGCAGTCACCCACTCACTCACTGGCTCACCCACTAACCCACCCTCTCATTCACCCACTCACTCACCCACTCACTCACCAACTCACTCACCCATTCACCCCCCAGTCGCCCACTCACCCACCCACTCACCCACTCATTAACCCTTCCCCTCACTCACTCAACATCTCACTCACCCACTCACTCACCTACTCACTCACCCACTCACCCATTCACCCACCAAATCACTCACCCACTCACTCACCCACTCACTCACCCACTCACTTACCGATTCACCCAATCACTCATTAACCCACTCACTCACCCACTCACTTACTCACTCACCTACTCACTCACTCACCCACTCACCCACCCATTCACCCACCAACTCACCCACTCACACACCCACTCATTCACCCATTCGCCCAACCAGTCACCCACTAAAACACCCATTCACTCACACATTAACTCACCCACTCACCCACCAACTCACTCACTCACCAACTCACTCACCCATTCACCCGCCAGTCACCCACTCACCCACCCACCCACTCACCCACCCACCCACTCACTCACTCACTCACCCACCCACCACCCACTCACTCATCCACTCACTCACCTACTTACTCACCTACTCACACACTCACCCACTCACCCATTCACCCACAAATTCACCCACTCACTCACCCACTCACTTACCCACTCGCCCACTCACTCACCCACTCACTGACCCACTCACGTACTCACTCACCGATTCAACCAATCACTCATTAACCCACTCATTCACTCATTCACCCACTCTCCCACCGACACACTCACCCACCCACTCACTCACCACTCACTCTCCCACACACTCGCTGACTCACGCACCCATCCACCCACTCACTCACCCACCTAGTTACCCGTTCACTCACTCAGCCACTCACTCACCCACTTACTCACCCACTCACTCACCCACCCAGTCACCCACTCACCTACCCACTCACTCACTCTCCCACTCACCCATTCACTCAACAACCCACCCACTCACCCACTAGCTCACCCACTACCTCACCCACTCACTCATTCACCCACTAACTCACCCACTCACTCATTCACCCACTCAGTCACCCACTCACTCACCCACTGACCCACCCACTCACTCATTCATCCACTAACTCACTCACTCACTCATTCACCCACTCACTCACCCACTCACTCACCCACTCATTCACCCACTCACTCACTCACTCACCCACTCAGTCGCCCACTAACTCACTCACTCACAAACTCAGATAACCAATCACTCACCCACTCGCTCACCCACTCAGTCACCCACCAACTCACCCACTCACCCACCCACTCACTCACCTACTCACTCACCCACTCACTCACCCACTCATTCACCCACTCACCCACTTACTCACCTACTCAATCACCCACTCACTCACCCATTCACCCACCAAATCACTCACCCACTCACTCACCCACTCGCTCACCTAATCACTCACTCACCCATTCAACCACACATTCAACCACTCACTCACTCACCCACCCAACCACTCAACCACTCACTCACCCACTCACTCCCCCACTCACTCACTTAGTCAGCCACTCACTCACCCATTCAGTCTCCCACCCACTCGCTAATGCACTCACTAATTCACTCACCCACTCACTCACTCACTCACCCACTTACTCACTCACTCATTCACTTACTCACCCACTCACCTACGCAGTCACCCACTCACTCACTGGCTCACCCACTAACCCACCAACTCATTCACCCACTCACTCACCCACTCACTCACCAACTCACTCACCCATTCACCCCCCAGTCGCCCACTCACCCACCCACTCACCCACTCATTAACCCTTCCCCTCACTCACTCAACATCTCACTCACCCACTCACTCACCTACTCACTCACCCACTCACCCATTCACCCACCAAATCACTCACCCACTCACTCACCCACTCACTCACTCACCGATTCACCCAATCACTCATTAACCCACTCACTCACCGACTCACTTACTCACTCTCCTACTCACTCACTCACTCACCCACACACCCACCCATTCACCCACCAACTCACCCACTCACACACCCACTCATTCACCCATTCGCCCAACCAGTCACCCACTAAAACACCCATTCACTCAAACACTAACTCACCCACTCACCCACCAACTCACTCACTCACCAACTCACTCACCCATTCACCCGCCAGTCACCCACTCACCCACCCACCCACTCACCCACCCACTCACTCACTCACCCACCCACCACCCACTCACTCATCCACTCACTCACCTACTTACTCACCTACTCACTCACTCACCCACTCACCCATTCACCCACAAATTCACCCACTCACTCACCCACTCACTAACCCACTCACTTACCCACTCGCCCACTCACCCACTCACCCACTCACTCACTCACCGATTCAAACAATCACTCATTAACCCACTCATTCACTCATTCACCCACTCTCCCACGAACACACTCACCCACCCACTCACTCACCACTCACTCTCCCACTCACTCACTGACTCACGCACCCATCCACCCACTCACTCACCCACCTAGTTACCCGTTCACGCACTCAGCCACTCACTCACCCACTTACTCACCCACTCACTCACCCACCCAGTCACCCACTCACCTACCCACTCACTCACTCTCCTACTCACCCATTCACTCAACAACCCACCCACTCACCCACTAGCTCACCCACTACCTCACCCACTCACTCAATCACCCACTAACTCACCCACTCACTCATTCACCCACTCAGTCACCCACTCACTCACCAACTGACCCACCCACTCACTCATTCATCCACTAACTCACCCACTCACTCACCCACTCATTCACCAACTCACCCACTCACTCATTCACCCACTCACTCACCCACTCACCCACTCACTCACTCATTCACCCTCTCACTCACCCACTCACACACTCACCCATTCACTCACCCACCCACTGACTCAACCACTGGACTCACCTTGTACTCTCTCTGTCCTCTCTCTGTCTCTCTGTCTCTCTCTGTCTCTGTCTCTCTGTCTCTGTCTCTCTGTCTCTCTCTGTCTCTCTGTCTCTCTCTGTCTCTGTCTCTCTGTCTCTCTCTGTCTCTGTACTCTCTCTGTACTGTCTCTGTCTCTCTGTCTCTCTCTGTCTCTGTCTCTCTCTGTCTCTCTCTGTCTCTGTCTCTCTCTGTCTCTCTCTGTCTCTGTCTCTCTGTCTCTCTCTGTCTCTGTACTCTCTCTGTACTGTCTCTGTCTCTCTGTCTCTGTACTCTCTCTGTACTCTCTCTGTACTGTCTCTGTCTCTCTCTGTCTCTGTACTCTCTCTGTCTCTCTCTGTCTCTCTGTCTCTCTCTGTCTCTGTACTCTCTCTGTCTCTCTCTGTCTCTCTGTCTCTCTCTGTCTCTGTCTCTCTGTCTCTCTCTGTCTCTGTACTCTCTCTGTCTCTCTCTGTCTCTCTGTCTCTCTCTGTCTCTGTCTCTCTGTCTCTCTCTGTCTCTGTACTCTCTCTGTACTGTCTCTGTCTCTCTCTGTCTCTGTACTCTCTCTGTACTGTCTCTGTCTCTCTGTCTCTCTCTGTCTCTGTACTCTCTCTGTACTGTCTCTGTCTCTCTGTCTCTGTACTCTCTCTGTCTCTCTCTGTCTCTCTGTCTCTCTCTGTCTCTGTCTCTCTGTCTCTCTCTGTCTCTGTACTCTTTCTGTGCTGTCTCTGTCTCTCTGTCTCTGTCTCTCTGTCTCTCTCTGTCTCTGTACTCTCTCTGTACTGTCTCTGTCTCTCTGTCTCTCTCTGTCTCTGTTCGCTGCTCCCTCGCTCGCACCAAGCGATGACCCGAATAGTCCTCGACTCCAACTGAGACCCTGCCAACTCTTGCAATGCCTTATACACTGCCCACTCCTACCCCTCCTCACTGCCCACTCCTACCCCTCCTCACTGCCCACTCCTACCCCTCCTCACTGCCCACTCCTCACTGCCCACTCCTACCCCTCCTCACTGCCCACTCCTACCCCTCCTCACTGCCCACTCCTACCCCTCCTCACTGCCCACTCCTACCCCTCGACACTGCCCCCTGCTACCCCTCCTCACTGCCCCTCGTCACTCCTCCCCCTCGTCACTCCCACACACTCCTCACTCTTCTACTCATCCCCCTCCTCCCCATCACTCCTCCTCCCTCTACCTCCTCATCACCCCACCCCTCCTCCTCAGTGGGTGAGTGAGTGAGTGAGTGGGTGAGTGGGTGGGTGAGTGGGTGATTGAGTGAGTGAGTGAGTGGATGAGTGATTGAGTGAGTAGGTGAGTAGGTGAGTGAGTGGGTGAGTGAGTGGGTGAGTGGGTGATTGAGTGGGTGAGTGAGTGAGTGGGTGAGTGAGTGAGTGAGTAGGTGAGTGAGTGGGTGAGTGAGTGAGTGGGTGAGTGAGTGAGTGAGTGGGTGAATGAGTGAGTGGGTGAGTGAGTGAGTGGGTGGGTGAGTGAGTGAGTGGGTGAATGAGTGAGTGAGTGGGTGAGTGAGTGAGTGAGTGGGTGAGTGAGTGAGTGGGTGAGTGAGTGAGTGAGTGGGTGAGTGAGTGAGTGGGTGACTGAGTGAGTGAGTGGGTGAATGAGTGAGTGAGTGGGTGAATGAGTGAGTGAGTGGGTGAGTGAGTGAGTGAGTGGGTGAGTGAGTGAGTGGGTGAGTGAGTGAGTGAGTGGATGAATGAGTGAGTGAGTGGGTGAGTGAGTGAGTGAATGGGTGAGTGAGTGGGTGAGTGGGTGAGTGAGTGAGTGAGTGGGTGAGTGAGTGAGTGGATGAATGAGTGAGTGAGTGGGTGAGTGAGTGGGTGAGTAGGTGAGTGAGTGAGTGAGTAGGTGAGTGAGTGAGTGAGTAGGTGAGTGGCTGAGGAAGTGATTGAGTCGGTGGCCGATTTGCTATCACGCCCCGCCACGAACCAGACCACCCGAGTTCGAAACCCTGCTCACAACCACCACCATTATCTGAACCATTCCCGTGACTCCCCTATAGCTCAACTCAGTCTCAAACGAGCGCCTGCTGTAGCGGTGTGTAGTAGGTAAACATCGCCACTGGGGAGACAAAGGCGGCCGGGCGGGGAGTTGCTCAGTCACTCACCCACTCACTAACCAACTCACTCACTGCCCACTCACCCACTCACTCACCTACCTAACCACTCAAAACCTCCACTCATTCATTTGCTAATTCACTCACCCACTCACTAACCTACTCACCCACTGGGTGGGGCTGGGTAGGGAGGGTGGGGAGGGGCTGGGTGGGGGGTGGGCTGGGTGGGGCTGGGTGGGGAGGGGCTGGGTGGGGTGGGGCTGGGTAGGGAGGGTGGGGAGGGGCTCGGTGGGGGGTGGGCTGGGTGGGGCTGGGTGGGGAGGGGCTGGGTGGGGGGAGGGGCTGGTCACCCCGTGGTGCCCCCCTTATAAAACTCAACGTTTCACCTACTCACGCCGGCTTGTGCCCGCCCTCACAGTCGGGCATATTGTGCGGAACGCACCACCACCACCACGTGGTGCCGCCGTTGTTGTTGTTGTTGTTGACCCTGGCCATTGACCGAGCAACCCAACGTTCCTACCGGCTCCTCCCTCAGCAGGAGAACGTGTTCATACTCACTCCGTCTGTTGTCGCATCCTCAAAAAATATTGTCACTCAATTTTAACCCACTTCCCAATGTGCTATCGACTGAAAACTTAGTATACTTATGTCATACTGATGACAATAACTATATTCTATAATAAATAAATAAAATAAAAAACATATTTTTAACATTTTACACGCTTTTAACTCACTCTGTTTGTTCTCGTATTCTCAAATCTTGTAACTCAATGCCAACCGTCTTCCCAATGTCGTATCGACTGCAAGCTTGGTATAGGTATGTCATACTGATGACAATACTATATTCTACAGTGAGGGAAAAAAGTATTTGATCCCCTGCTGATTTGGTACGTTTGCCCACTGACAAAGAAATGATCAGTTTATAATTTTAATGGTAGGTTTATTTGAACAGTTAGAGACAGAATAACAACAACAAAATCTAGATAAACGCGTGTCAAAAAGTGTTATAAATTGATTTGCATTTTAATGAGGGAAATGAGTATTTGACCCCTCTGCAAAACATGACTTAGTACTTGGTGCAAAACCCTTAGCAATCACAGAGGTCAGACGTTTCTTGTAGTTGGCCACCAGGTTTGCAAACATCTCAGGAGGGATTTTGTCCCACTCCTCTTTGCAGATATTCTCCAAGTTATTAAGGTTTCGAGGCTGACGTTTGGCAACTCGAACCTTCAGCTCCCACCAAAGATTTTCTATGGGATTAAGGTCTGGAGACTGGCTAGGCCAATCCAGGACCTTAATGTGCTTCTTCTTGAGCCACTCCTTTGTTGCCTTGGCCGTGTGTTTTGGGTCATTGTCATGCTGGAATACCCATCCACGACCCATTTTCAATGCCCTGGCTGAGAGAAGGAGGTTCTCACCCAAGATTTGACGGTACATGGCCCCGTCCATCGTCCCTTTGATGCGGTGAAGTTGTCCTGTCCTCTTAACAGAAAAACACCCCCAAAGCAAAATGTTTCCACCTCCATGTTTGACGGTGGGGATGTTGTTCTTGGGGTCATAGTCAGCATTCCTCCTCCTCCAAACATGGCGAGTTGAGTTGATGCCAAAGAGCTCCATTTTGGTCTCATTTGACCACAACACTTTCACCCAGTTGTCCTCTGAATCATTCAGATGTTCATTGGCAAACTTCAGACGGGCATGTATATGTGGTTTCTTGAGCAGGGGGACCTTGTGGGCGCTGCAGGATTTCAGTTCTTCACGGCGTAGTGTGTTACCAATTGTTTTCTTGGTGACTATGGTCCCAGCTGCCTTGAGATCATTGACAAGATCCTCCCGTGTAGTTCTGGGCTGATTCCTCACCGTTCTCATGATCATTGCAACTCCACGAGGTGAGATCTTGCATGGAGCCCCAGGCCGAGGGAGATTGACAGTTCTTTTGTGTTTCTTCCATTAGCGAATAATCGCACCAACTGTTGTCACCTTCTCACCAAGCTGCTTGGCAATGGTCTTGTAGCCCATTCCAGCCTTGTGTAGGTCTACAATCTTGTCCCTGACATCCTTGGAGAGCTCTGTGGTCTTGGCCATGGTGGAGAGTTTGGAATCTGATTGATTGATTGATTGCTTCTGTGGACAGGTGTCTTTTATACAGGTAACAAGCTGAGATTAGGAGCACTCCCTTTAAGAGTGTGCTCCTAATCCCAGCTCGTTACCTTTATAAAAGACACCTGGGAGCCAGAAATCTTTCTGATCGAGAGGCCGTCAAATACTTATTTCCATCATTAAAATGCAAATCAACTTATAAAATTTTTAACATGCGTGTCGGTGCGCTTGCTGTCCTCCGTCTTCGTGGAGGTGGACACGGGCGTGGGGGTCACGCTGCACTGCGATCCCCAGGGTGGACGCCTCTACGTGTCGGCTGAGCCACAGCTGCAAGGCCTCACACGGGGGTTGTGTGGGAACTATGATCGCAACCTCGCTAACGACTTCACGTGAGTTGTGCAGTGTATCGTGTAGTGTAGTGGTGTAGTAGTGTGTAGTGTATAGTGTAGTAGTGTAGAGGTGTGGTAGTGTATAGTGTAGTAGTGTATAGTGTAGTAGTGTAGTGGTGTAGTAGTGTATAGTGTTGTAGTGTATAGTGTAGTAGTGTATAGTGTAGTAGTGTATAGCTCAAATAAACCCACCGTTAACATGATAGGCTGATCATTTCCTCGTCAGTGGGCAAACGTACAAAAATCAGCTAGGGGATCAAATGCCCCTTTCCCTCACTGTGCGAGGAGGAAACACTCGGGACCAGAAGCGCGCGGGCAACTCAAGCGCACAACGACACGCGTGGGAAATTGAAGCCCTGTGACTCAAACCGAGAGGCGAGACGGAGGGGAACCAACACGTGCAGAGAGAGAGAGACAGAGAGAGCGAGAGCAAAGTAGAGGAACTAACGCCTTGAGCTCAGAGAACGCATCACGTCCGCGTGTGTGTGAGTCTGTGTG